ACCTTTAACACATCATAGTTTAGTACGCTTCATATTTTGGGGGAGGGAAAACGTACTTTAAGACTTTTTTACAAAATAAAATCGAGAGCGACCCGGATGTATATCGGGCTGCGCATGCGCAGATGAGCTGTTGGCAGGGGTCCTGCTTCCTGGTTACGGATCGGCTACTGACGGGCTTTATCTTACCTTCTTGATGTTTATAGAGAGGCTGGTGATGTGTGAGTGTTTGCAGGGAGAATGTGTTCAGTCCAGCTTCAAGGAGAGTTTATCAGCGAGCAGTTAACTCCTGCTGAAGAAACATTGACGGAGGTTAAAGGAAGAGAGAAAAGGCCCAAAGTGGAGATGGACGATCAGCACAGACTGCTGGATTTCACCAGGATCCCCCAGATCATCTTACACCGGATAGGTAGGAAACACCTGATAGAAACGATTCCCTCAGGATGCAGACTGAGGGTTGGAGCCTCAGCTGATTGGAAAACTCATTAGAGGAGATCAACATGCTAAGCTAAAGCTAGCTTCTGCTTTAGAGTGGGAGTCCACGTCACGGAGCAAAGCCTGAAAGGCTAAAGTCTGCATCATGTTTGCTCATTGCTGCTTTTCAGATCCAAACTCTACTGTTCCATGTTGATTCTGATGCTTAGATTCCAACATGGAGGCTTTTCTATTAAGAGACATTAATATATAGTAGCGATGGGTTCAGCAGCACCGATGAGTGGAGCCCATAGAGCAAAACACTGGCTGTGTTCGAATTCATGGGCTGCTTCCTTCAAGGACCCGGTCTACCTCTACTGGATCCTTGGAAATCCTTGAAAATTAGGAGAACAGAAAAGTTCTGGCTGTGGATCCAAACAGCTCTGTTGCCTAGCAACCGTGACAGATAAATACAAAGCAGGAAAAGAAGGCATACTGAACTGTTTCTTTTTTATAATAAAGTGAACAAAGACTTCACTCATGAGAATCCAGAGTGGAATAAAGGTTCCAACCACCGGGAGCAGGAACAAATAAAATCAAATGTAATGATAGAAACCTTAGTCAGTTAAATAACCTGCTGCTGTCATTCTGCACATCTCTGATGTTGCTGCTATTTTCAAATATCCATTACTGTAAAAATGTCCATAGCTGCATATTGGTTATTTATTCTCCAGTTTTATATTGTTAAACAATTTACAGTATTTTATTGTTTATATTTTAACTCTTCCCTAATATGTTATTTATAGACATTTTTCTAAGGTCCTCATTTGTGTGATCATTTTCAATAATCTTTCTGCTGCTGTACATTTTATCTATAAAAGGGGTAGAAAGATATAAGTAAATTTAAACAATGTTTGTATAAAAATATAGCTCTTATATTCAACAACAAAATACTTAGTTAAGCATATTGTGCAAAACAGCAATAAAAAAATTAAAATCCTATCAGATTTATAGTTCCCACCCTGCAGATATATTAGAATCTGTCCTTAAATTACAGCCAAACTCATTTACACAGTAACAGATAAAACCTTTAGATAAACCAAACATTACCGCCACATATCTGACTCAATAACCATTAAAACAACTATTTTCATTAATCTCAGACGGAACTATTAAATGACTTGTATTATATTAAACTGAACTTCCAATTTTCACCACTGTTCGGCGCCAAGTAACATTTCCTCTGATCACGGCTTGCTTGGTCTCGCAATGAATCCTGGGATATCCAAGAATACCGAGGATACATCAGACCCGTCCTTCAAGTCGGGCAAAAAGAAGGACGCATTTTAAGGCCGCATAACGAGGACTCTTGGAATCCGACCAGACCTCGGCGCCGCGCTATGACGTAATGACCGAAGAATCTGGCCTTCTAAGGACGCAGCCCATGAATTTGAATGCAGCCACTGTATCAGTGCGCGTGTTGTTTCCAGAGAGTTCTGTGATCGATCCAGGAGTTGTTTCTGACTGACTGACTCACTAAACTGTGTTTAAAAAGAAGATCGTCTGCTAAAAACATTTCTTTTCTTTTGCAGTTTATCATTAAAATGATGCAGAACTTTGGAGCCTAATGGGAACATTTCAGCCGCTGGGTTTTTACATTAATTTTCTCGTTGTATCATCCTTTTCCTCTCAGTTATCACTCGACTTATATGAATCAAAGTTAAATTCAAATTGAATCTCAGTTTATTTACTGTTTTTACTGCAGTTATTGTTTTAAAATTATGATTTATAATCGTAGTTAACAAGCTTCCTCATTCACATTTCCCCTTAATTTTAACCTTATGATAAATGTTTACATTATTTATTAGCTGTATCTAAAATATCAAATATATTTTCAATTTCAACATAAATGTGAAATAATACAATATAACCTACTATAACTTCAATGATGTCTTTGCAACAGGTCATCAAAGATACTCAGTTTAGTCCAATCGGCTGCCTGTAGTGTCTCTAAATGTCCAGCAGGTGTCAGTATTCTGTGAGACAGAATCAATCCAGTTTGGCTTCAGGATGATCCATCTTTCAGAGAGAGATGGCGTCTGTTCCTGCTGCTTTACCAAACTGGAACCAGTTTATGACTGATGTTTCCTGGAAACATACTTGGCGTTTATCTAATCACTTTCTGCTCACTAACAAGGTGAAGGAAGTTTTATTCACAGGATCTATGCTGCCAAAGATGACCTATAAAAAAGTTCCATTCTGATATTATTGTGAACGGCACTTATTGTGATCTTCTCCCAGAATCTGTTCTGCTCTTGTTCTGGTTGTCTTCTGCTGTTATTGGTTAAGACAATTGGCCCCTTTTTGGCGTTGTAGCAATGCAATAATTTAATTAATTTATATATTGCCAATTCACAACGCGTCACGTCACATGTCGTGTCACATGTCACCGCCCCAGTTCTCTTGTCTCTGTCGTGGATCTTGGATGTTGAGGTTTGTCAGTATCCTGGGGTCTAGTGGTGTTGTAGTGGTGCTCTCATCACTGCCACCTTCAGGGGAAACATGGTCCACCACAGCCTCTCTTGAACTCGCTGCCAGCCTCCATCCTCAGCATTGAAGCCCTCAGCACTGTGGTTAGTGACCTGGTTCTGGGTTTGTCTGACCTGTGGTTGCAATGCTGCTTCTGGCCCCCTGCTTCACATCCTGTCTTCCCCTGGAGGATCCTTGGTCCTCTGAAAGCCAGATCATCCAGTCAGATCGAACCAAAAATTTTCTAAAGAAAACCAGTTGATTGCATTGACTCTTCAGCAATCCCTCACACTAAGCATGCTTGTAGCGACAGTGGAGAGGAAAAACTCCCTTTGAACAGGAAGAAGCCTCCAGCATATATAGAGGAGGTTTAGATGTAGATATTTTCCTGTATATTTTCCTGAAAATGTATATATAAAAAAGAATCGCCGTGTTTTTGTTCCGTAGCTGAGAGACGCTGACCGAACTCCCTCAATGGGATCAACCGTGAGCTAGATCCCGCTGAGCCCAAACATCCAACCAACCCCACCGCGGTCATAATCATCCTACTTTATGTAAAAAAAAAAAATATAGATTTGTGTGTTACGAAACATAGCGATATTGCAATATCCATGTTTGTCACAACAGTGAGGAGTTCAGTTGTATTTACGTTTAACTACGATATCCTAACATATACATATTTTTTAATGCGTAGTTAATTGGAAAATATGCTCACATTTATGCAGTTCTTTTCAACAACCTGTCTGCATTTTTCCTTTCACTGAATGAGTTCTGGGAAGGCACTACGTTCCGCAGTCAGCCCCTGACCTCAGTCGGTCTGAAGGGATCATTTTAAGGGTTGGAGTTCACTTCCCCTTAGCTCTTATAACTATTGGGACACACTAACCTTAGACGTGAACGCGCAAAGCCGAGTGTTAAGGTCCAATATGAGTGCAAGTGAGAGAAATGGGACTGGGCTGATGGCTGCCATCAAGCTGATGATAACGAGTAAACACTCCAACCACCCGCCTAACATGTAGCCACCGTGGCCTGTGGGCGGGGCTACGCTGCTTTGAAACCTCCAGAAGTCATTTTAAAGTTGGCTCATTGTTGATTGACTGATCGATTAAGTCTGTAGGTCTACTTTCTCCCCTGAAAACATCTTAAAATCAATTTTTATGACAAATTATTAGTTTGAAACCCAAATTTCTTCACTTCGTTTACTCTTAGCCTTGTTTTCTTGATAAATAGTTATGACTGTAACAGCACTTTAACCCCCGTTGATGACGTTTCACAAGTATGCAAGTCTACAAGTACAGAAATGTAACCATAATAAGAAATGCCCAATATTTTCTTCTAAACGAAATAAACAAGGAGAAACAGACTTTAGTTAAGTAGCTTTCCCTGACATGTTTGTCCACCTGGGATGTTAAATTTTAAACCTCCACATATGAGCAGTTCTGAAGTGTTACGTCTCTGGAATTTGGTCTTAATAATGCATAACTGTTGGATTTGATCTTCAGACTCAACCAACAGAAAACTCTCTTTCTCCCAAAGCATCAACATCTATGGAGCTACATTGGGGTCATAAATGTTAATCAGAACCATTTTATTTCACTTAAAAAAAAAAAAAAAATGAAACTGAAGGAAAACAAAATTTTAAACAAAAAAGTTAAAAACTAAAAGCATTTGTAAGTGGGAAAAAAAAAGAGATTTTAATCCAAAAAAATTCCATCTTCTTCTTCTTATCCATTAGGCTCTCAGTGGGGATGGTTTCTCCCTCCTGCAGTCTGTGGGGTGAAGGTGGGCTACACCCTGAACCATTCATCTATAATATATCATCTGTAAAGTAGTTTCAACAAGCTTTGATGATAAAGTGGAGATCCAAGCCTTTCTAGACGACAGCGCAGCATTGCCTGGTCCTTTCTAACCTGTGATGTGATGTCAGAGCTGCAGTGAATGCTGGGAAATGTAGTTCTACTCTGGTTATATGCAGCTTGATCAATACATGGATGGTTAAAGTGAAGTGTCCTTTCTTTAACCTGCAATTCAAAGTCTTTCTCCTGTGTTTGTTTTTCCAGACCGCCTGCAGGATTATGTTGGAAAAGAAGAGGTTTTCCCTGAGCAGCAGTTCTCTGAACAGGAGAGGAATTCCAGTTTGGACCAAGCAGAACCAGAACCTCTGCAGATAAAAGAAGAGCAGCAAAAGCCAGAACATCCCTGGATAAAAGTGGAAACCATGGAGCTCCACATAAGTAAGCATGAAGAGCAGCTTGTTCTGGAGCACGAGACTAGAAATACAAGAGATACACCTTTCCCATATTTAAGGCCCCGTCCACACGAAGCCAAACCCTGGCCTAAACGCACAAATTTTTCACCAAACCAGCCTCTCATCCACACGAAGCCGGCGTTTCGGGGGTCTGTAAACAATCTTTTTTTTATTCAGCCTTCAGAGTGGGAAGATTTTGAAACGCCGTTTTCGCGTTTCCATCTTTACGCTCTAACCGCATTTTTTTTTTTTTACACGCATGCGTCATAGCGTCGCCTCTAAACACGCATGCGCGACACATCACAACAACAATGGCGCCGTTGCTGCTAATGCTACTCACCCTGCTGTCGGGCTTACAACAGAATCTTCTTCTTCTGGAATATCTCCAGGAAGAACAGAGCAATATCGACGACATAGTTCAGCACCTGAATTTGACTGAACCACGAAAATGGACCCGCAGGGCAACCATGTATAAATATTAGTGCGCATGCCCAACATTTCGTCGCTTATTTTTGCTTTGGCACCACAGCGCCACTTACAGGCCTGGCATACATTTTGCAGCGTTTTCATGCATTCGTGTGGACGCTCACATTTATTTTACGTCTCCGTCTTTACGACAAATGTTTTGGAAAATATCAGCGTTTTGTGTTCGTTTTGACTTCGTGTGGACGGGGCCTAAGATGTGGAGAAAGATTCGTGCTAGTAGGTTCCCAATGGAATTTCCCATTGAGAACCTACTAGCACTAAGTTGCTAACTGGTTAGCAAGATATTTTGAAGAAACCGGCTTCAACCAGACCTGCTTGTAAACCTTCCGCCACAACAATCCCGCCCCCTTGATAAACAACCAATCACATTCATTTTATACCCTTGTGTAAAGTCGTGCACCACTCGGGAGAATTCGGAAAGCAAACGGTTGGAACAGCAGCTTTCTTATGAGTTTAAAGTTGGCTCATTCTTGGTTGACCGATTGGTTAAGTTTGTAGGTCTGCTTTCTTACCTGAAAAACATCTTGAAATCAGTTTTTATGACAAATTATTAGTGATTTAAAACTCTTACATTTCTGCACTTGGTTTACTCTGAGCCTTCTTTTCTTGATACATAGTTATGACTCTAACAGTACTTTGACTACTGTTGATGACGTTTCACAAGTAGACAAGTCTACAAGTAAAGAAATAATAATAAGAAATGCCCAATATTTTCTTCAAAAAGAAATGAACGATAAAAAGAGATTTTAGTCAATGGGCTGTTTTTAATTAGGCTTTATTAATTGACTTTATTGATCTTACAGTGGTTAAATGTACTTGTAATGTACTCGTGTTAATGTACTCAGCTCAAATAGTCAAAGAAGAAGAATGTTCCAAAGGAAGAAAAAGTTGCATGGGATACATACCGTATTTTCACAACCATAAGGCGCACCGTACTAAAAGGCGCACTCTCAGTTATGTGTGCCATTACTGTATTTAACACACACATAAGGCGCACCAGACTATAGGGCGCAGGTTTTATATACCGGTACATATCCTCTACTACGTATAAATACCTCTACTGCGTATTTAAAAACAGAGCGGGAGCAAAACTGAGTATGATTGTGCTTTATTCATGTATTTATTACAAAGTAATAATCAAACCCATCGAAGTCATCATCCTCTGTTTCTGAATTAAACAGCTGCGCTAAATCAGACATGCCAATTTCCCCTTCTTCGCTGTCAGAGTCACTTTCCGTGCCGTGCGGCTCCTCGGAAATAATGCCGGCTTTTGCGAAAGCTTGAACAACAGAGCCAGCAGACACGTTAGTCCAAGCATCTACAATCCATCCGCAAACTGTGGCGTAACTTGGTCGGCGCTGCCTTCCACTTTTCGTGAAACTGTGGTCTCCGTCGGTCATCCATCGCTCCCACGCCGCTCGCAGCCTTACTTTGAACGGCCGGTTCTTACCGATGTCGAGCGGTTGAAGTTCCTTTGTCAGACCTCCCGGGATAACGGCGAGCACAGCGTTCATTTGTTTCACCTTGTTTTTCACATCGGCTGTGAGATGGGCACGCATGGAGTCACAGATTAACAGCGATGGTGATGCGTGGAAAAAAAAACACCTGGTCTCCTTACATACACCTTCCTCAGCCACTCTTTCATCATCTCCTCATCCATCCAGCCCTTTTCATTTGCCTTAATAACGACTCCAGCTGGAAAAGTCTCTTTAGGCAAAGACTTTCTTTTAAAAATCACCATAGGCGGCAGTTTCTGTTCATTTGCATGGCAGCCAATCCACGCCCACACTCCCCCCTTTAACATTCTCATGGTGGTCTCAACAACGTCTGCAGTAGCATACAGTGCATCCACATATGACAGCTTATTTTTTTCTTTTTATTGTAGTATCATGATACCAGGTTATTGCACAGAGTGTTTACATGGGTATTTATATAGATGGATATTTACATATAGTTAATGCACTGGGTGTCAAAATTAGAGAAACAGGTTTTTGCACTGGGTATCAGATAATAATTGCACATTCTCCATTGCACCAGTTAATGCTGTTATAGTGTTGCATTGTAGAGTCTGGTTACAGCAGGGATGAATGACCTGCTGTAATGCTCCTTTTTACAAAAGGCTCCTCTCCAGTCTGGTGCTGAGGGTGGAAGGTGTTCTCCATGATGGATCTAAGCTTGGACAGCACCCTCCTCTCAGCCACTTCCTCCACTGAGTCCAGAGTGCAGCCTTGGACAGAAACGGCCTTTCTCACCAGTTTGTTCCATCCCTTTTCTGTCCCGCTCTGAGCTGCCAGGGGCCCAGCAGATGACAGCGTAGAGGAGGGCTGAGGCCACCACAGAGTCATAGAAGGTTTTAAGGAGGGGCCTGCTCACTGCAAAGGACCTCAGCCTCCTCAGGAGGTGGAGGGTGGGGGCTCTGGCCCTTCTTGTACGAAGTGTCCGGGTTATGAGTCCATTCCAGTTTGTTATGATGTGAACACCCAGTTATTTCAAACTCTCCCCCGTTTCTATGTCCTGCCCCTGGATGTTGACGGGGGAGTGAGGTGGGCGTCTTCTCCTGAACTTGATCACCATCTCCTTGGTCTTGGTGGTGTTAGGACACAGGTGGTTCTTCTCACACCAGTCCACAAAGATCATGATGACTGATCGATATTCCAGCTCATTCCACCTATAAGCGCAGCCCACAATGACCGAGTCATTGGAGAACTTCTGGAGGTGGCAGCTGTCCATGTTGTAGGTGAAGTCCGAGGTGTAGAGGGTGAAGAGCAACAGAGTCAGGATGGTGCCCTGGGGGGCCCGGTGCTGCAGACTGCCACTTCTGACTGACAGTACAGCTGCACATACTGAGGGCATTCTGGGAGGGAGTTGATGGTCCAGGCAGCAAGAGGTCTGTCCATTCCAGCGTCCTCCAGCTCCCCCATGGGCAGCTCTGGTCTGATGGTGTTGAAATTGGTGGAAAAGTCAAAGAACATGACTCTCACTGCGCTCTCGGTGGTCTCCAGGTGGGTGAGTGCCCACTGCAGCAGGTAGATGATGGCATCCTCCACTCTGATGTCAGGTCGGTAAGCAAACTGACATCAGGTCACCACCCCCAGGCTGAGGTTGTAGATGTAGCTGAGGACCTCGCAGAGCTTATCAGCACAGTTCCTCAGCAGCCTTGTAGGAATCCTGTCTGCTCCGGAGGCTTTCCACTGATTCAGCCTCTTCAGCTGGCCTCTCACCTGCATTGAAGTGACTGTGAGGGGGTAGAGAGACATGGCACAGGGTGTGAGTTGGTTTTGGCGGTTGGTAAGAGTGGTGGTGAGGGGAGGGTAGGTCTCTGATGGCCTGAGGATTGCAGACGTGTGAAGAGTTAAGGGCAGGGAGGAGGTACTGTGAGGGCGGTCAAAATGTGTGAAAAACCTGTTTAACTTGTCTGCAAACTTGGTGTCGCTGTCTGCAGCCCTGTTGCTCCTTGGCCCAAAGCCGGAGATGTTCTTGACACTCTTCCATTCATCTTTGACATTGTTTTATGACAGCTGTTCCTCTATTTTCTCATAGACACTCTTTGCCTCCCTGATCCTCCTTTGAAACTCTCGTTAAACTCTACACTGCTCTTCTCTGTCCCAAGTTTAAAGCCCCTTTTTTTCTGGTTCAGGAGGACTTTGAGCTCAGGAGTCACCCAGGGGTGGTTTTTATGGAAGCTCCGTAGCCCATTTGTGGGCACTGTGCACTCCACACAGAAGGTCATATGATACATTCAGTCAGGCTGTTGATGTCATCACTGAGAAAGCTTTGGAACATGCTCCAGTCTGTGGTTCTGAAAGTTTCCCTGTTTCTCAGTGCATCTGACCAAACTTTCACTGACTTTTTCTTTATAGGTATCTTTCCCTGACATATTTTTCCACCTCTGTTTGTGGACTTTATGCCTCAACATTTGAGCTGTTCACAAGTTTTACATCTCAAGAGTTTTATCCTACCAATACATAAGTGCTGTAATGCATAAGTATCTGAAGACCCTCGGACTTATCTAACAGAAAACTGTCTTTCACACAAAGCTAGATGAACATTTATGAAGCTACATTGGGGTCACAAAGTTTGCTTAGAAAAAATGTATTTTACTTTAAAAAAAAACAAACAAACAAAAAAACTGAAGGAAAAATAATTTGACACAAAAAGCTAAGAAATTATGAATGAAAATGCAAAAAGAAGAAACTCTCTGGAATTTTATCTTACTAATGCATAACTTTTGGATCTGAAGAACTTTCCTTCCCACAAAGTTAGATGAACATCTATGGAGCTACATTGGAGTCATATATTTTGTTCAGAACCATTTTATTTTACTTTAAAAAAACTGAAACTGAAGGAAAAAAAGTGAAAACTAAAAAGATTTATAAGTGAAAATAAAGAAAAGGAGAATTTAATCTAAATAATTCCGTCCATCTTCTTCTTCTTACCCTGATGGGTAAGAAGAAGAAGTGGGCTATCTTTCCCCCACTGTGGGGGAAAGGTGGGCTAAACCCTGAACCATTCAACTAAAATATATATCATTTGACAAGTAGTTTAAGGAGTTTAGTAGTTTACAAGCTTTGATGATAAAGTGGAGGCTCAAACCTTTCTAGAAGACAGCACAGCATTGCCTTGTCCTTTCTAACCTGTGATGTGATGTCAGAGCTGCAGTGAATGCTGGGAAATGTAGTTCTACTCTGGTTATATGCAGCTTGATCAACACATGGATGGTTAAAGTGAAGTGTCCTTTCTTTAACCTGTGTTTGTTTTTCCAGACCGCCTGCAGGATTATGTTGGAAAAGAAGAGGTTTTCTCTGAGCAGCAGTTTTCTGGAAAGGAGAGGAATTCCAGTTTGGACCAAGCAGAACCAGAATCTCTGCAGATAAAAGAAGAGCAGCAACAGCCAGAAAGTCCCTCACTAAAAGAGGAAACCGTGGAGCTTCCCATAAGTAAACATGAAGAGCAGCGTGTTCTGGAGCAGGAGACTAGAGATACAGGAGAGAAACCTTTCCCATGTTTAAGATGTGGAGAAAGATTTCTGAAAAAAGAATATTTAAAGGTTCACATGAGAATTCACAGAGGTCGGAAGATTTACAAATGTCAGTCTTGTGGAAAAACCTTCAAATCTAAATTTTATATTAATAGACACATGAGAACCCACACAGGTGAGAAGCCTTTCAAATGTGAGTCCTGTGGAAAAAGCTTTTCTCAGACATGTGATCTTGATAAACACACCAGAATTCATACAGGTGAGAAGCCGTTCAAATGTGAATTCTGTGGAAAAGGCTTTTGTCAGACGTCTGATCTTTATACACACACCAGAATTCACACGGGTGAGAAGCCGTTTTCCTGTACTCTTTGTGGCAAAAGCTTTAGTAGAAAAAATAACTTGACTGCTCACATGAGAATTCATACGGGTGAGAAACCTTTCAAATGTGAGTCTTGTGAGAAAAGCTTTACCGAAAAAGGCACTCTTGATAAACACACCAGAACTCACACAGGTGAGAAGCCTTTCAGATGTGAGTCCTGTGGAAAAAGCTTTTTCCGGACATCTGATCTTAACAAACACACAAGAATTCACACGGGTGAGAAGCCGTTCAAATGTGACTTCTGTGGAAAAGGTTTTTCTCATAGAGTTGATCTATATAATCACACCAGAACTCACACAGGTGAGAAGCCGTTCTCCTGTAGTCTCTGTGGAAAAAGTTTTATTAGAAAAACTAGCTTGACTTCTCACATGAGAACTCACACGGGTGAGAAGCCTTTCAAATGTGAGTACTGTGGAAAAGGCTTTACCTTAAAAGGCTCTCTTGACAATCACATCAGAATTCACACAGGCGAGAAGCCGTTCTCCTGTACCCTTTGTGGCAAAAGTTTTTGTCAACAGGCTAGTTTGACTTACCACATGTCAACTCATGTGCAAAATGTTTGCCCTCCATGAAACGGATCTTACAAAGAAAGATGTATTGCTTCACATAAGAGAGGTCATGCAGGAGCCATAAATGAAAAGGTGCTTTGATCTTTGTTTGGGTTTTTAGCTGTTTTGTTTTTGATTTTATTTCTTTGTCCGGTTGGTTGTTTGTTGAGGAATGGAGTTTTGTATTTTGACATATTACTCACCTGTTGGAGTGTCACAGGTAGAAAGTGGGTGAGAGGGCCACTGTATTTTTTATTGACCACTCTACAAATCCCTGTGATCTACACTACAGTTCAAAAGTTTGGGGTCATCCAAACAATTTTGTGTTTTCCTGAAAAGTCACACTTATTCACCACCATATGTTGTGAAATTAATAGGAAATACAGTCAAGACATTGACAAGGTTAGAAATAATGATTTGTATTTGAAATAAGATCTTTTTTTTTTTGTACATCAAACTTTGTTTTCGTCAAAGAATCCTCCATTTGCAGCAATTCCAGCATTGCAGACCTTTGGCATTCTAGCTGTTCATTTGTTGAGGTAATCTGGAGAAAATGCACCCCACGCTTCCAGAAGCAGCTCCCACAAGTTGGATTGGTTGGATGGGCACTTCTTGCGTACCATACGGCAGACATGGGCAATGTGGAGTCACCAAGTCATCTCCATGTCATGTATTGGTTCTACCCAGCCACTGAAGCAGATGAGTCCAATCTTCACCGTGAATTAACCTGTGCAGATTGGACTCACCTGGTTAATTGGCTGGGTAGATTAAATACATGACATGGAGATGACTTGTGGACTCCACATTCCCCATCTCTGACATACGGTCAAGCTGCTCCCACAACAGCTCAATGGGGTTCAGATCTGGTGACTGCGCTGGCCACTCCATTACCCATAGAATACCAGCTGCCTGCTTCTGCTCTAAATAGTTCTTGCACAATTTGGAGGTGTGTTTAGGGTCATTGTCCTGTTGTAGGATGAAATTGGCTCCAATCAAGCGCCGTCCACTGGGTATGGCATGGCGTTGCAAAATGGAGTGATAGCCTTCCTTATTCAAAATCCCTTTTACCCTGTACAAATCTCCCACCTTACCAGCACCAAAGCAACCCCAGACCATCACATCAACATGCTTAACAGATGGCGTCAGGCATTCTTCCAGCATCTTTTCATTTGTTCTGCGTCTCACAAACGTTCTTCTTTGTGATCCAAACACCTCAAACTTGGATTCATCCGTCCACAACACTTTTTTCCAGTCTTCCTCTGTCCAATGTCTGTGTTCTTTTGCCCATCTTAATCTTTTTCTGTTATTGGCCAGTCTCAGATATGGCTTTTTCTTTGCCACTCTGCCCTGAAGCCCAGAATCCTGCAGCCGCCTATTGACTCTAGATGTTTACACTAGTGTTTTGCGGGTACTATTTAATGAAGATGGCAGTTGGGGACCTGTAAGGCGTCTGTTTCTCAAACTAGAGACTCTAATGTACTTATCTTCTTGCTCAGTTGCGCAACTCGGCCTCCCACTTCTTTTTCTACTCTGGTTAGAGTACAGTGCTTTTCCTCCAAAAATAAGGACATTTCAATGTGACCCCAAACTTTTGAACAGTAGTGTATGTTTGACAACTTATATTTGGGATTGATTCTATGTTGTTTCTACCCTTTTTGTTTAAGTTCATTTCAACACCAGTTTGATCTCAGCCTCTCAGCAGCTTTTTTGTTTCATGAAGTTGCTGCAATATGTAACATCAGTTAGATGCCACAGAAAGGAACAGCAAAAACCTTTTCCATGTCTACCCGTGATAAAATGTCCATCTAGTGACATGGAACTCACATGTTTCTAGAGAACGCTTTTCTTTAATGGTGGTAATCTACTGTTTACATGGAAACGAGTAAAGGTAAAGTGTAATAATCTAAACCTGGTAATATTTCAGCTATAAGATGACAAAGAACTCGGTTAAGAGTTCATTTATTGTGTTTCTTTGCACTACAATGGTTCATTGGCATGAGGTTAAAAAAAAGTTTAGAACTGTAAATATACAGTCATTTGTTTATATTACTATTTGTTCTCCTGTTTTTATTACTTTGTTTCAAGGCTGCACTTTAAAAAATGCAATTGTCTAGAGCTGTTTTAATAGAAATTTCTTTTTGTATACACTCACGTATACAAAATGACAAAATAAATCTTAGTCTAAGATTCAGACTTGACAATTTTGCCATTAAATGTCAGATTCAAAGTCTGTATTATATTCACTTAAAAATATTTTCTTTTATGTTTCTGTTTTTTAAAGATCTTTTATGGTAAAATTTTCTTTAAATTATTACCAATAGTTTTGTTTCTGATTCTGTAGATGTTTTAATAACCTGCTGTGATTTAGAGAAACTATCGTCTGTTTTATAGAACTAGATTTTATTGCATTGTTTTCTGCCCTGGATGTTTTACATAAATGTATTCACTTCTAGATTGATGAACCAAGCAGAAATTAAAACATGGATTATAAAAATTGCTTCTTTATATGGTTTTGTGTAAGTCAATAAATCTTTTTCTGTTTTCTCTGAGATTTTCAGACAACCTAAAGCTGTAATATGACAGTTTAATGACTTAAATGCTATAAGTTCTAAAAACTTTGTTTTAAATCAGTATATTATACACATATGCCTTCTTAAACATGGCTTAAGCAGGCATATTGTAATGGCCATGTAGGTCCATCACATGTTTACTGTTAACTTTGCTTATAAGTTTCAATGGAAGGCTCATCAGATGACAAATGACCTTTTATAGTATGTTGTTACAGATTTTGCAGAGTGGGAGATTAGAGACATAATGAAGCAGAGTGATGAAAAATGGGTCCCTATGTCCTCCAGCAGTCTAAGCCTATAGCAGCAGAACTATAGAGATAGCTCAGGATAACCTGAGCCACTCTAACAATAAGCTTGATCAAAAAGGAAAGTTTTAGGCCTAGCCTTAAAAGTAGACAGGGTTTCTGCCTCACGGACTAAAACTGGTAGTTGTTCCACAGGAGAGGAGCCTGATAACTAAAAGATCTGCCTCCCATTCTACTTTTAGATATTCTAGGAACAAAATGGATTAATTAAAACATTAGGAGTGAAATACACAGGCTCCAAAAAGTATTCATACACTCCAGATGTTTCCCTTTTAACAAACTTTAATGAATTTTATGTCACTGACCAGCAAAATGTTGCATAACTTTAAAGTTACTATAAAGTCCATCCATTATCTGACACGCTTGTCCCAATAAGGGTCGTGAGGGGGTCTGGAGCCTATCTCCAGCTGTCTACGGGCGAGAGGCGGGGTACACCCTCGGCAGGTAGCCAGTCCATCGCAGGGCATCCCAGAGACAAACATGACAAACAACCATTCACACACACACTCACATCTAAGGAGAATCTAGAGAAGCCATTTAACCTAACATTCATGTTTTTGGACTGTGGGAGGAAGCCGGAGTACCCAGAGAGAACCCACGCATGCTCAGTGAGAACATGCTAACTCCGTGCAGAAAGACCCGGGCCGGGACCCTGGAACCCGGAACCTTCTTGCTGCAAGGCAGCAGTGCGACCCACTGCTACACTGAGCAGCACTATAAAATCCTCATACAGAATTAAAATGCTACAGAAAAAAAACTGTTTAAAGTCATAAATAAGGATTATTCTCAAACCACTAAATAAAATGTGGTAGTAGGTCCCTCTGTCACCAACCAGGTGCAGTTTTGTCATTTCATCAGAGATAACAGCCGTTTTCCAACATAAATCTGACCACTGTGGTGGATGATGTCCTTCAGAGGCTGAGGATTTGGTACGAGGACAGACTTTCTGCTTACAGCCATAAACCAAGGCCAGAGAAACAAGGAACCATGAGTTTCTTTCATTACCGATGCATAAATCACCCTAAACCCAATGACACCTTAGCCCTAAACCTTACCATTAGCAAAATAGCATGTGAGAACCTGCAAAATGTCCTAACTTTGCATTAATTGGTCCTCATTCGGAGGGCTAGACAGGTACGCACACACATCTGACACACTGTAATTGAAATGCAGCAGTATATAGATGGACGGAACAAGAATCCAGTATTGAAGAAATGCTAGAAGAACCTGGTGACATGTTCCTGACTAGTTTCTTTTTAAGCCCCGGAGACTGAAAAGTAACACCTACTCTGGACTGGCTCCAGATTTTCACCGTATCTCGTTGTGAAATGACTACAGTCTTATGTGAAGCCTCACCTTTCTTTTATATATCTGAAAAGTTGCAATAACAAAAACTATCATAAAGAAAACAAGCAGAACGATAGTTCCTTCCTTTGCTCCTTCCACAGTTTCTTTAAACGGGATCCCTGCGACCTTGTTTCCTCCATCATTTGCTTCATATTCATCATCTTCGTTTTCATCCCCTGCAAAGCAGAAGCAGGTGTTAGTCTGAAAATGGCTGAATAACGTCATCCACTCTACTGAGACCTTCCCCTCAACAACGTCTTTTAAAAAGCAAAGGCCAGATCTGAGAGGATTCATCCCAACATCAAGAAGCTGCTGGAAGCCCTGGTCCAGAAACAGACTTACCTGGTGGAAGAAGAGGAGGAGAAGAAGGACTGACATCCAGCTGGATGGTGCAGATTACACTTTCTTCATCTTCACCGAGACTCCTGTGGACCACGCTACACTGATATGTTCCAGAATCATAAGTCCTGGTGTCTTCCAGAACCAAAGACACATCTCCATTCTCCATGAGTCTGTCCTGCAGGTCCACCCGGTCCAAGTAAGAAGGACTCTGATTGGATTCATCAATCTGCTCATCTCGATAGAGAAGCACGTATTCCTCTCCCAGATCACTTCTGCTCCACTCCACTACTAAGACGCTGTCATTAAAGGGATGTCGACATGGCAGAGTGGCCGTCCGTCCAGCTTCAGCTACAAATGCTTCATGAACTGTAGGGGGGGGAAAAAAATAGCAGAAAGGTTAAAGGTCACTATAAACAGCTGCTCCCCCCCAGCTGCTTCAGAGAGAGAAATATGCTAATTTTGTGAGATAAGAATTTGGGGTTTTAATGAACTGTATGCCCAAATCATCCGTATTAAGACCATAAAATACCTGAAATATTTCAGTTAGTGAGCAATGAATCTGAAATATATGAATGTTCAAGTTTTATCATTACATTATGGAAAATAATGAACTTTATCACAATATGCAGGGCTCGCATCGCCCGATCGCCCGGGGCAAGTAGTTTTTATTGTCGGGAGAGTCCAAATTTCATTGCATTTGCCCGCCGGGCAAAAAAAAAATATTCATCACTCAAATTTACTTTAAAATCACAGACATTCGCTGAAAACGACCCACAAGCGTTGCCGGCGCCATCTTTGTTGTTTTGTGCACATTCTCGCGTGATTTGAAAAAGCCCCGTGATTTTCCGCTAGATGGCGTGATTCAGCTCTTGGGGAGAGAATTCTGCAGAGCAGCAGCTGGATTATGAATTTAATCTATACTATAATACACGCTAGATTAAAAATGATCAGTCAGGGATTAGGAAAATAATAATAACTGTATGCGCACAGTGTAAATATTTCTATCATATGGCAGTCTTCTGTACAGTGATGCAGGTCATACATTAAAAAATGATCATTAAATTCTTTTCTCTTAGACATTGGAGTGGTGCATTTAAATGTTATAGAGCTAAACATGTTAAATTGGTGAGTAGTAGTGGAAGTTTTTAACCTGTCATGTTTTTTTTTTAGATTTTTAACATAACAATTTATATTTTTCCAAGCAAACAACAGTTTAAAGCAAAGTTTAGTTTGTAAAGAATGTGCAGGAAGGATTGAAAAGCATGTTAACACGGTAATGTTGGCTTGAGTTCATTATCTGACGCATGCAGATACACACCAGGAACCTGGAAACTTAAAAAATACTGAATTACAAAAAACATTTAAAAAACAAACATGTTTCATTGATATATATACAAAAATGAATATTAGGAACTATATTTATCAAACGTTATACTGGGCAATTAAAAATTGTTTCTGGGAAAATGAAATGTTAAAGTCACTTGCCCGAAGGTCAATATGTTTTACTGCTATAGAGAATCCCACCAATTTATTGTATAAAACGAGCCAATCAGAAGCAATCACCTGCCTCCATTATGTAACTTGATGATTAATCAGGTAACTTTATCCATTCTTGTGGGTTTTTTAATCCAGTGTTGTTTTATCAAAGCTTTAGAACAACAGTAAAGTCAGAGGAACTCACATTGAGACCAACAGAGGACGGTTTCTGACAGTAGAACCCAGCTGATGAAGAGCAATGAAGCAGACATGGTGGTTCTCAGAGCTGCTGGAAGGCATTTAGATCAAGTCAACCAAGCTGTCAGATCATCTATAGGAACAACATCAGTGATATAAAACTATGAAAGGGACTTACCATGTGATGTTCCTCGCTGTTTTAACAAACTGGGATATTGTTGTTAATGAAAGCTTTCCCTGTGTCGCTGTTGGCAGAACCTTTGTTTCCTTACCTGTCATTTACTTCCTGCCAAACAGGCTCTGAGGCGTGGCTACTGCAACTACGTTAGACACAAAGCAGACGACGCATACTTTAAACTGCAGAGCAACAATGTTCTGAAGGATTGAGAAACAAACTCTTTGTTTCTGTGTCTGCAGTCTCAATGTGGAATAAAAACAAACAAAACAGGAAACCATCAAGCCAGTCTGCATTGATGCACTATAAAATGAATTATCCTCTGCCAACTTTTTCAGTTTTTATTCTAACATATCTTTAAACTGTCTAATCCAAGGTATCTTTTTTAAAGCTTTTTAAATGAACTTATATTTTATTTGGTATAAAACCATCAGGTTAATCCAGCTGATCTAGTCGCTGTTAAAAGACCCAGGGCTGCTTTCTCTTCTTTAGAACCCTGAGCTGTAAACCTTCAACCATTTACTGCTTTAATCCTCAGCTATGTGAGGAGAGATTAGGGTTATGGCACTTTGCATTTCCTAACATCTCCCTCTAGTGGCCATAAGAAATACCTGATTAGATTTGTGTTCCTCCTATTATCGTTGATCACCTTGTTAATTCACAGTTTACCTAAAAACAAGGATTTATTATTGGTTTATTTAAAAAAAGCTAGAAATAAAACAGTTACTGAAACCACACGAAATGCCACTCTTTCAGCTTCCAGTCTGTAATGTATATCCATATGCAATATATATCTATATCTATATCTATATCTATATCTATATCTATATCTATATATATATATATATATATATATATATATATATATATATATATATATATATATATATATATATATATATATATGCGGACTAAGGGTGTAATTTTGTGATGAAAGTTATATTTATTGAATGCTTTCCGATTGTTGAGAACACAACAGAACCAAAATACACTGATATTAATATCTATGGTTTGATAACGTATACTAATAATTATAGATCATAATGTTCATAATGGTTGTTTTGGGTGTATTAATTGTTCACACTAACACAGAACTATTAAAACCAGTTTCTTGTCTCTCTAAGCATCTCATTAGTTATTTTATGTTCTGGTCTATATATTTCTATGGGTGACATGGGTATACTAGTACAAGGGATAGTACTGCATATTACTTTACTCAGGATACTACATATGGGAAATTAGACAATAATGTGTATTAAAAAAAAGAATGAATAACAGCCGATTCCGATGCCAACAGCAATACATCATGCCTCCCTAGTATGAACACAATTTCAGTTTCATCCATCAATCTATCCAGAAACATGTGGATGGATTGATGGATGTTTCTTTCAGCTACATCACTGATTATCTTCCATCAAAAGCAAAAAAAAAATCAAATTTAGAAATCTGTCCCACATATTCTTTAGAGTCAAAGTCTATGTATTGAAATTATTGGTGGACGTGTCCACAGCAGTCCTTTAGAGAGTGACGCCTGTGATGTGGATGTGCTGTATAAACTGAACCTCATTGAACCCCAGGCACCTTCGCCTTCTCTTTTTTAATGTTTGAGGTGATGTAACAAGTACATTTCTCCACTGTGAGATCAATAAAGTCAATCAATCAATCAGGAAATAGGAAAGAAGTTTAAAAATGTAAAGTTAGCGCAGTTCATGTCTGAAAAATGAAGGTTTCACTCAAAACCAGAGGAAACAAGATGACCCTCCTCCACTTCCTGACAGTCTGACAGGAAAGGGGCGGAGCTTCACCTGCAGCTGCAGACCAGACATGAAAGCATCTCTGATCATCAGAGAGAACAATGAAGGAACCTGCCCGGCCCATTCTGCTTTGTGAGTACAAAACTTCTTTGTTCCTTATTTTCATCATGTTGATTGACAAGCAGTGATTGCAGAAAGATTACAGAATCATACTGCACTGACTGCAGAGTTATAATTGAAATGTAAGGTAGAAGCAGGGAAATAAAAAATAAATCTCAAGAAGAGGCAGGAGATTGCTGGAAAATCTACTTTCCAGTAACTGACTGCAATAAATATAGAAGCTATATCTAATAGGTTTACTGAATGGATCCCATTAAGTGGAGTAAACCAGCAGTTCAGACGATCTGAAAACATGTTCTGTTTATCAAGGGCGACAGCGGCATTGGGACTAGGAGTTTGCCCTGAAATCAAAGGGTTGACGGTTCACCTGCATTGTCTGCTCATGGTGGTCAGAGGGCCTGGTGATGCGTCAGCTTCACTTCAGGGCAGCTCTGGCTAAAATGTAGCTTGCCACCATCAGTGCTTTACATTACTACTGCTTTGGTCGAGTCTCCTGACTTGGAAAAAAGCGACATATAAGTACAGGCCATTTACCATATCGAATTAGTTGGTTTAACCAGTTTGGAGACAGAAAACTCCTCTAATTGGCCAGCAGAGGTGCTATTTATTACAATAACAGCTGAATTTGATAAAGGTCGGTATTAGAAGCTTTGTTCCTCTTCCTGAACATAATAAGGTCTGTTGGGTTAGTGTGTAATTATTTCAAATATTCATTATGAAAACATACTTACAGGAAGAAAATTAGCTGATTTGTTATTCAGTGAGACAATATTAGAAAATATATTCATGATATTAGCACAATTAATAAAAAATAATACAGTAAATATGCTCAGAAATAAAGACTGTCAATCTTCTCTCTTTAGGTGTGACATCACTGCTGTGGAGATTGACAGAAGGTCAGTAAACTTCTACATTCTTCCAATAAGCAAAAATTAAAATTCCTCTTCTTAGAGGTGTCAATAATTTTCAGTAAAAGTTTCAGTAATTAACATATCTGGAACGCTTAGCTGAAATAGTTGGATTCATACAGAAGTGTGGATCCAGTTTTATTCCTTAATTCAGGGTTAGATGCTGCAACATTAAAATGAAGCATGTCTTCCTGTTTGTGAACCTGCACAGCTGCTCTGACTGTGAGTCCCAGCAGATCTCAGTTCTTCAGAGGAGAATCAGTGTCTCTGAGCTGTGAGGAGAACAACAGCTCTGCTGGATGGACTGTATGGAGGAACACAACCAGAACCAGCAGAGCGGATTGTGGAAGGGGATGGGGAAAATGGCTGCCGTCCACCTGTAGCATGAGCTACCTGTACCCGTTTGACAGTGGAGTTTACTGGTGTGGGTCGTCCAGAGAGGGAGCAGCCAGCAGCAGCATCCAGCTCACTGTCACTGGTAAGATCAGACTGTGGAGTTAGTGTTGATGAAGCTGTGTGGAAATGGATGAAATGCTGTAGTTTGTCTCTGTGTTGAGGTGGATCAGTGATCCTGCAGAGTCCTGTCCTCCCTGTGATGGAGGGAGATGACGTCACTCTGAGCTGTCTAACAAAGACCACTCCCTCCAACCTCCCAGCTGCTTTCTATAAAGATGGCTCCCTCATCAGGACTGAGCCCAAAGGTCACATGACCCTCCACCATGTGACCAGCTCTGATGAAGGCCTCTACAGGTGTAACATCAGTGGTCATGGAGAGTCTCCATCCAGCTGGATCTCTGTTGAAGGTCAGGAGCTCCTCTGATTTCTTCTTTGTTGGTTTCATACATAACCTGACATCATTACTCTTTCTGCAGGGAAACCTCCAACAAAAGCTCCGCCCACATTAATCGGCTTTCATGTTGGTCTTCATCTTTTCATCCACCTGCTGATCTTCTGTCCGTACTGCATCTGCACTCTCCTCATAGTATCCTTATGTCGTCGAACCACAGGTAGGTAAACTACAACCATCCCGCCGACCGATCAACCACTCCAAATGGTTTTTAAACACCTATTTCCTGTCTTTAGTTCGGGAACCTTCTGCACGTTGGCGAGATTACCGATGATGTCATCACTTCCATTACTCAGGAATATCACTTTCAAACCTGCTATAATTCTCCTATTAAATGCAAATGGAAAAATCTGTTTCTGATTCAGAACCAGCAGAGACCCGACAACACATCCCTGAGGATCTCCACACGTCAGAGCTGACTGACTACTGAGTCTCACTGATGGAAAAAAAAAAACATTTAAATATCAAATATAGGAATTAACGTTTTAAAAAAGAAAACAATTATTACAGAGGATATTAATTCAGTTATATGATAATTGAATGTATTTTCATAAGTTACAAAAATGGCTCCAAGCTACCTTATATGTCAGTTTTACTTTGTGGCCTCAGTGTGTTTGATTTTGGTTTAATGAAATAAAAGCAACTTTTCTCTTCTGCATTTTAGTTATTTTTAATAATAAAAACTTCAGAAATGTGAAAATGAAGGTTTGTGGGAAACCTTTTTGATGAAAGTAGAAGTGGTTGAGTTTTCTGTCAGTTCAGGCTTTTGTTCAGCTGTAAAGGTTATTCTTTGACATATCGGCTCTGTGGTCGTTCCATTTCCTGTTATTGAAGGAAACATGAAACTTAGCGACATCTTTAAAACGTTTAGCTGCGCAACTAATCACTTGTCCTCTCTTTTTGCAGAATGTTTGATCCTGCATTGTTGCCTGGTGTTTTTATTCAGATCAGATTAATATTTCTGGTTCTGGAAGGATTGATGATCAGAAGATGGTCAGACAGTCGAAGTTCAGGGGCAGTGATGGTTTCCTCCTCTGTGTGGTCTGATGATGACAATGTGACGGCTAGCATACCCTCTCTGCCTCTGGGGCGGGGGCTTTGTGGTCGGTTTGTCCGTCTCATGCAAAGATACAGCATGAGACGGATGTGGTGCATCTATTTTAACAGAAAACAATGCTGGTACATCCTGGTGACATTTAGAAATGCTTCAGTGGCTCCACTTTTAGTTGAAATAATTAAAATATTCAACATAACCTGTTGCCTCCTGAATAAATTCAAAACATTTGTTCACAAACTGTTTAACTCCAAAAAACACTCCATAGTGATTCATAATACCTCACTATATAAAAATGTATGTTTATTAAACTGAAACATACATTCTTGATTATGTTTATATGTATAGAAACAAAATCATTCATACTATTGCTTTGGATTTAGACTTAAATTGTGATGACAGGTCAGTTTTCAATGAATAATAATTTAAGCACTTTTTTATAGGTTGTTATTATTATTATTATTATATGTTCTTTCTGACATTGCAGTTTTCATCCATACATAAAGTATCATCAATCAGCGCCTTACTGAAATGTTATTGAGCTGTGTATCATTTCTTTCTGGGTCTATAATCTGTTTCAACCACTAGATGTCCTCGGTTGTCCTCAGAGTACAGCTTCTAATATTGTTCTCTATGTTGATCTATGCTAGTTTATTTATATCTCTGTTTCTCCTTCTCATTAGTTCAGTGGTTGATAATCCTGCCCTAGATTCTCTGTTTGTAACAGAGGTTGGTTCCTTATTAGATAAGTTGATTAAATTATATTTCAATGATTCAATTCTTGTTTTTGTGTTTCATCTTTACATCTTTGTGGACCAAGAGTGTGTTTAATGAAACCAATCAATCCATGATTCCTTATAGGTTGCAGAATCCTGCCTTTTACCTGAGTTGCACTAAAGTTGCAAAGCAAAGGTTTAACTTGGACTTGCAGACAAAGACTTGGCTTAGACTCAAGGTAAAAGTTTATTGGATTATCCTTCAGTGATTCTGCTCTCAGCAGTTTTAATTCTGTGCTGCAATAATAAAACAAAACAAAGTTATAAAACATCATCCATAACAAAATCCACTGAGAAAATAAAAAACTGTTAAAGTGAGGAGGATTTGTCCCCTTGTAAGGAAGGCTGTTGCGCCCCGGGGGCCTCCTCATCGGTTCTTTTCCTGGGAGCAAGTTATTTACTACTCTTAACTCAAATTGGGTAAAACCATATAAAAAAAGGACTATAAAAACAGGAGTAAAAAAGTAACAGAGTTTATTCCAGATCAGGTCGTTACAGGACAGAGAAAAATGCTTAGAGCTTGCACAGCTGTGGTCTCAAAAATCACCTCCGCGAGCGTCCGGCAAAGTTTGAGCCCCGAACAACGTCATCACCTGCTTCTTATACCTTCTGAGTCTGTGTCGCATCATGTGGATGCTTAGCTGTCCGTATCAGAAACTGACACGCCATCCATGTCTTGAACTCCATGCAGCTTGCTTCTATGCTTCAGGGTTACAGATACAGCAGCTCTCCTATCAGACCGGCTCCAAGATGTGCCCATATCCTGTGTACTCTTAAAGACACGAAGGCTGTCTTGATTAGATGAGCTCCGTACACACCGTGACATCCACAATGTGAAGGAAGGCCTTCTGCTCTGTCTAATCTGACTAACAAATTAACAGTGCACATGATGTATAAATAATTAAACCTAACAAAACATTGACTTCAATCTGTAGGAATTAAAAACCTAACTGAATATTCAAAACATCTCTTGTAAATATATTGCCCTCCAACATTGGGGTTACCACGGCAACAGAGCCTGATACCTTGGATCTTGGTTCAAAGGTATCACAGCAGCTCCAAAACAATGATGTCACAACTAAACAGAGAAGATAGACAGTCTTCATTTCTATGCCATCAAGATAAACCCATGTTTGTTTACGACCCCCGTTCCGAAGGGGCGGATGAAAGCATGCAAACTGAACCGGATGAATATGTCGAACGTGCATGTTTCTAAGGCAAAACAAGGCTTTGTTTTTGTTCTACTCTACTCAAGTGAGATGAGCATGATAACTTGATGAGATGAATGGAGTCTGGTTTGCTATTTCTTGGTTGTAAAGAAAACCTGCAGCCACACGGCCCTTTCTGGAATCAGTTTGACATCCCTGCTATAAAGCCTGGAACTCAATGCTATTTCTGACATTTTGAATTAAAAAGCTTCCTGGATGGGAAGCCAAACGTCTTCAAACTTGAGTTCAAACAAAGTCCAGTGGATTTTTTTTTTTTTTTAAATGACTATGACCTGAATAACTAAATATCTTCACCAGCATTTTGAACTTGGTCTTACTCTGAGTGTCCTGTAGGTGGCAGAAGTGAGTTACTCGGATCTGAGTTTTGCTTTAGTAGAAAATGCAGATGGTTTTCGTGCTTTCTGGTGATTTCTAAATGCTTCCTGGGAAACAGATGACTCCCCGTTGGGTTCTGACTCTGTGCTTTCATTGGTTCCCCTTCACAACCTGACTGCAGGCATCACTTCTCAGTTTGTGTTTTTGCTTTTTAAAATGTTTCTTCAGAAAACATTAAAATGAGAAATTGAACCAAAACCTAGTTAATCCTGTTTATGTTTCTCTGTTTGCATCCAGGTGGATTCAAGCTAATAAGAGTAAAAGGTTAAGTACTTAAATAAACCCTGAAATGAACCTGTTCAGGTACTGAGTTGAGTCATACTGTTTGTGCATTTTTTTTGCATTAATTATGTGAAAAGTCCATGAGAAGCTTCACCTGGTTACAGGTTTAAAACCTCTTCAAACAATCAGGAACGCTTTGCTCCGTTCAGTTTCTGCTTCTCTGCGGTTTATTCTTGCTCTTATCTGAAGACAATTCAGAACCAGTTAGCCACATCCAGGCCAGAATGGGTCCAGATCTTCTGTTTGATGTTCTTGTTACACCCACAGACCACATGACAAACACAGGTAAGATCAGGCTTTATTAAACAAGCACAGAGAGAAGATAGAAATAAATAAATTAGACGAACAAACAAACAAACTTAGCTTAAACTTAGGACCATAAATGAAATAAAAATCTCTGCTAAAGGAAAGTAATTCTTCACTTCTTTGCTTTGGTTCCATTGATTTTTATTTATTTATATTATTTATTTATTTATTTATTTATTTATTTTTTTTTGCAGTTTGTTACTTTAAAGAAAATAATGATAAACCCTGAATATTAAAGTTGAAGGCGGAGACGCTACCGTCCATCGGCTGGTCGGTCGGCACTATCTGAATGAAGAGTAGAGGACATCTGGCTTGGCTCCCAGCTCTGAAAATAAAAAAAATACCATACATAAAGAACTGCCTTAAACCTGCAGCATAAAAATAAAAACATATTTAAAATGTTTTGTGTAAAAAAAAAAAAAAAGCTTTAATTCTAAGTTATTTGGACACATTTTCACACCCCAGAAGTTTCTGTCATTTTGTCCCATTGTAACCTCTGATTTAAACGTTGAGTGGGAGACAAAACTGTAGAAACAACACTGGGATGGCCAGCATGGGGGGTGGTGGGTGGCTATAGGTAGATAAAGCAGTGAGACTAAAAGAAGAACTGTTCCTTGCTTGATATGACACCCTGTCACTCACACCATGTGAGAATACGTGTAGGTGTGGAAGTGAAGACAGAGAAGCAACATATGGGGAGTGAAAAATCCTTCAACAGCTCCAAAACATAGAATCTCAACCAGAACCACATCTCTGAGGTCATCATTGCTGTTGGTATCAGTGCAAACATTGTGGTTTTATAGCTATATAGCTTATATGCTATCAGATTTTTAGATAGAGCTATCAGGAATAGTAGTAGCTCTCACAGCTACTTTGTTTGGAAGGACCCCCATCTCTATATAAGAAAACATTCATGGTCTTGGGGTTTGCGCTTCTGGACGCCTTTGGGCCTCGTCTGCCCTTCTTTGGTGGCTGCAGCCATTCCTATGTCTGTCCTCCTTGTGTTTCAATAGTCTGGGGTCCCTCTGGATAATGGGGCTCTAATCACCTCTTTTTCTATCCAGGGCCCTGTAGGGTGAGTCTGGGGCCGCCCACACCTGCTATTGAGCATACTGCTTTCTGAAGAAGCTGTGTAAATCCTTTATACACGAGCATGCCAATGCATACTACCACAGGAGTTTGGTTTTAAGTGTTTGCAGATACACACAAATACTAAATACTAGTCAGCAGCTATAGATATATACCATCCTGATTAATATTGTGTAATCATTGTAGGTTTTGAGTCCGACACACATGGATCTCTAAAGGACCTGCTGCTCTTGAAGCGTTTGTTGTTTTGTTTAGTTTGGTTTTCTGTTCTCTTCTTTTTGCTGCTATGCTCTCAGTTTTCTATTCCTATTATCCCATACAGTTATGGAAGCAGACTTCTAGGAGTTGATGTAGATGTTCTGTGTCCATTTTTGCTGTTTTGTTTTATTTTCTCTCTTTTCATTCATCCTTCCTTGTTTCTATCTCTCTCTCCCATCAGTTCTTATCCCCTCTTTCTTTCTCACCTCCATTTCCGTCTCCATTGAATACGATTTTACTCCCTAAATCTTTTTCGATAAAGTTACGTTTATAAGAGCAGAACTTTATGGTTACAGTCATAATGGTCTGCTTGTGGAAGCAAAGCTGCTGGGCTATCAGCCATATTCCCAGAGTTATATTGGCTAAACAGGAGACAATAAAAGGGAACCGTTCATGATCTTTCGGGGTTAGGAGGACAGGCAAGCTGCAACTTATCCTCAATACATGATTCTCAGTTTGCCACACGGTGGTGGCAGTGCCATGCTGTGGGTCTACTCAGTGTTTTTCTTCTGTGTTTTAGGAATCCTTCAAAAGAAGTAGGTCCTGCTTAAGAGTAAGAACTTTTTTTTCCATTTCTCAGAAAAATACAAACACAGAAGTTTAAAAAAACAGAACAATTAATATTATGGTCTTAAGGAGGGAGGCATATGGTGGCACAATGCTAACCTGAAAGGCCTTTAGCAAATAGAAGCTAATTTTATTCTGTGTGAGGTTGAACTGACATCTACAGATTATCTGACGTCCAACTTTACGACCAAAACCCATGAACCAAAGTTTTCCTGTGACACAACGCTCAGTTTTATATTCAGAGATCTTTATTATCTGAATTTGGTGTAAAAATAGTCTCTCACTAAGTGTGTAAGCACTTACACCATGATGACCTTTTTGAAGAGTTTCATTCAGGTTTCACAGCTCATCATAGCACAGAAACAGCACTGCTGATGGTCACTAATGATATTCTCTTTTCAGATAATGGACATGTTTCTGTTGTCCTCTTAGGTCAGTGCTGTTCTTTCTTAAAGAGACGGTTCCCCATGTCTAATGGCGGACATGACGACCTTCAGTGTTGCAGCCATAAAGAAGCTATAGAGCTCAGATATGAAGCTGTACCTCTGGTCCTCTTTGGTCTGATGTTGATCTGTCCGTAGCTGATCTCCTCCTTCCTCACTGCAGAGTAAACTGAACCTGGATCTTCCTCTGAGGAACAACAACACAGAATAAATCCCTGTGGGTCTGTTTAGATCATCACATTGGTCTAAAAGAATAATAGACATAATGATGATAACATATTTTTTTCTTGAAACTCAATTGAGATAGCATCACATTTTAACACCTTTTTTCATATATCTGCTGCTGTTAATGACAAACATCTAAATATATGAATGTTCGTGTGAACCAGAGACCACAGAGCTGTTCATCCCATACTAAACAGACCAATGAGTCGTGCTATGTTCACACCATCAGACATATTATTTCAGACCACACTGAGATGGAAACCAACATAGTCTTTATTTTTAAACCCATCAAATGTTTTCTGCGCTGACACCATGCTGTCCTGCTACACTAGAACCAACAGCAGGATGTTTGGTGGTTTTATCTCTGAATTCAAAGAAAACGAAAGAGTCTAACAGTCAGAGAGGAGAATCTGAGTTTAACTTTATGATAAATAAAGAAAGCAATAAGATTCAGGTCTGCATTTTCTTTGCTATGTATAAAAACTATTTCAACTGAAGCCAAATATAACGGAGTGAATCCCAGGCTTAAAACAGCAATAAGAACTAAGGTCCAATGGTCAGTTTTACCGCTGATCCTCCTTTTGTCTCCAGGCTCTCTGATGTTGATCTGTCCATAGCTGATGTCCTCCTTCCTCACTGCAGAGTAAACTGAACCTGGATCTTCCTCTGAGGAACAACAACACAGAATAAATCCCTGTGGTTCTGTTTAGATCATCACATTGGTCTAAAAGAAGAACAACATAAAGTCCTGATTTCTAATAAACCTAACTCATTAGTCATTATAAGATTTTGTGTACTGAGCTGAACTGTACTGAACAAAATGTCTTTTTGTATACACTCTGTGTGTATAAAATGACGTCTGTCTTAGTCTAAGATGTTGCATTGTTTTATTTTTGCTGTGGTTATTATGAAACATTCAAACACATGAAGGTTTGTGTGAAGCAGAGACCACAGATCTTTTCAGTTCCTCTAGAACGGAGGCAAACAGACCCTTGAGTTACGTTCACATTTGCACACTGACTCCTTCTGACCACACTGAGGTGGAAAGCAGGCCGTCTTTCTGCAGGTGAAGCTTCACCGGAACCAACAGCAAGATGTTTGGTGGTTTTATGTCTGAATTCAAAGAAAACCAGAGAGCCTAACAGTCAGAGAGGAGAATCTGAGTTTCACTTTATGATGAAAAATCAAAATATAACATGACATTATTTTACCTTCTGTTTATAAGGATGACCTTAAATGACCCTTTAATTGATCCCTGATATTAAACTGTATTAAACCAGTTTTAGTCCGTGAGGCAGACACCCTGTCTACTTTTAAGGCTAGGCTTAAATCTTTCCTTTTTTATAAAGCTTCTAGTTAGAGTGGCTCAGGTTATCCTGATCTATCTCTATAGTTATGCTGCTATAGGCTTAGACTGCTGGAGGACATAGGGACCCCTTTTTCATCATTCTGCTTCGTTCTATCTCTATTCTCCCACTCTGCAGAATCTATTAGTTCAATCTCTAGCGTTCTGCTCTCTTTGCTTTTTCTCATAGTAGCTTCATCTGGTCTGTTCCTGTTTGGCTGTGACTCCATTCTTGAGAGAAATATCAGATGTGCTGCTTCCAGATTGGCCTGTTTTCCAGTGTGGTCCTGTTTCTCTGACTGTGACTAACTGGATGTGCTCTCTTCATCCTCTGGCATGGTAGCTGGCTCGGAGCTCGTCTGCCTGGCTGTGTGTTTCCTGGACGGGGCCGCCTTTTACAGCTGCTTTTTCTATCTCTGCTTCTGTCTCCTTGAACCCCAGTGGGCCTCAGCAGTTGGCCGCTCACACTGAGCCTGGTTCTGCTGGAGGTTTCTTCCTGTTACCTCTCCACTGTCGCTACAAGCATGCTTACTGTGAGGGATTGCTTTTGAGTCAATGCAATCAACCGGTTTTCCTTAGATAGAGAACTTTGAATCAATCTGACTGGATGATCTGGTGAATTGGAAAGTACCTTGAGATGACTTGTGTTGTGAATTTGAGCTATAGAAATAAACTGAATTAACCTGAATTAGCTGTGAGATCAAAGACTTGATGAAGGGTCAGTTTTACCTCTGATCCTCTGTTCGTCTCCAGGCTCTCTAATGTTTATCTCTCCATAGCTGACATCTTCTGTCCTCACTGCAGAGCAAACAGCAGCTGAATCTCTATCTGAGAAACAATCAAACATGTATATATGGCATCAGAGTAGGAGTGAAACAGAGCTGCTGCCTTCTGCAGTGAGACAGACAGACCCAGGATGTGCACTCGGGCTCACTAACACCATCAGGACACTGCCCAGACTTTAAATGGGCTGAATATAGTCAGAGCTGTCTGTTGGTGGGACGGGGGTTAGCACTGCTGCCCTGCAGCGAGAAGGTGGCCACACTGAAGCAGGATGTCCAGAAACATCCTTAGTTCCTGAAATCCTGAGAAGGTTAAACCTGAGGGTGGAGCAGCTGACTGTACCTGACAGCTGACTGTCTACCTAAGCTCTATAAGGTGAACTATAACTGCATCTCTGTAGGGTTAGCAGGCTGCACCACGGAGCAGAAGAAAGCAATGAGAGGTTCATCAGCACCATCTAGAAGATCACCAACCACTCTGGAGGAACTCCTTACCACCTGCTGCCTCCAGCAGCTACGCAGCGTTTAGAGGAACTGAACAGGATGAACACTGAGTGTTTGAACTGCTGCCTTCAGGGAGCGGATAGGAAGAGCTGAGGAAATAAATCTGCACCGAGTGAAACTAAAGCCTCTGGAGGAGCTCTGGATAGAGCATCTTCACCAACAAGAGGGTTTCAATCGTCTTAGATACAAAATGCAGCATGTTTGGGAAGCTTTGGCTTTAGCACAAAGGATGTTTTAGAGTCTGTATACACCAGGTAATGATTTATTGACCAATTAGGTTAGGAATAATTAGAGTAATCAATTATTAATGCTTAATCCTATTAATTACTTTTTATTTGAAAATAATAAATATTCCATTAAGGTGAAACGCTGACTTCTCTTCATGCTCACATGCCCACTGTGTTTTAAAAGTTAGTTTTCAATATATTTGTAAGTCAGCAGCATATTAACCATTTATTTATGGCTGATTCTGGATTCCGTGAAAGAAATGTGAGCTTTCAAATGAAACAGTTAGTGACTGAACAGTTGCTGCTGCCACAGAAAGTCACATAGTTGTCAGCATAGAGTGATATGGGCTTTAAATGCAGACCACACTTATAAGATTAGCCTTTATAAGGCTGTTTGTTTGCAAAAGTTACTTTTCTACATTTCTTTTCCTAAAAGAAAAGACCTTATAATCATTTTGCACGTTCCTTTAGTTCCACCGTTATAGCCAAATAAGATAAAATTAAATTAAATGAACTGTGTGTCGATAAAAAGAATGTGAAAAGGTGCCGTTAATATTTTCTTGAGGTGTTAAAGTAGGTCGACTGAAACATGACTGCGTCATCACTTTGTCTGACTAAGAAGATTTACCTGAAACAAACTCTGATGCAACAGGAAGTCTTCGTTGATTTGAAATAATGAAAAAAGAAAGTTATTAAAGAACCAAATATTGATTCAAACTGGGAAAGATATTAAAGAAAAGGATTAGAAAAACAAAAATTAAAACATTAACCTGTAGAAAATGTAATAAACGTCTAATAACTGTTAATTACATTTAAAGTTTAATAGGTTTTGGAAAGACACACAGAGTGGGTGTTTTATAGAAGGTTATAGAAAACCTGCAGAGAAATATGTGGGGGTCTACTGTCATCTTCAATAACAGGAAGCTGGACGACCACAGAGCTGCTGGTCTGTTAACTGAATAACCACAGGCTGCAGACGCAGCACAGGGAAGGAGCAAGAGCTGCTGCTAAGATGATGGCTTCACAAAAAAAACCTTTCAAAAAGCTTTTCTGCTGAATTTAGCAGCAGTTTGAATGCGATGCAGCAAATGTTACCTTTGATAAGAAGAACCAGACAACATGAGTTAATTTTGATTAAAGAAAATAATGTAATGGTTGAGAATAAATCAGTTTCGCTGTAAATCTGACCAGCGAATGTTTTATAAAGATCATTCTCTCTTAGCGTTCATGTTATATAAACACAGCAAAAAATGAAATCAAAGCAAGTTGTTTTTTTCTTAAAATAAGTGAATTTCTCCATTAATTGAGGAGGTGGATTAGACAGGTTCTCAATAGAATAAGACAATTTATATCTAAAATAAGAAAAAAAAACATCTTGTTTCAAGGGGATAATATCAAATTATCTTATTTTAAGGGCAGATACACTCTTTACATTGGCAGAACATTTTATTTACCTTCTCAAAATCAGGGTGAATACACTTATGTCAAGACATTTTTACTCAGTTTTAGATTGTATTGCATTGCATTTGTATATGTATGTATGTACAGTATATATATCGTTTTTTGCCTTTAAGTAATAGCCAAATTGAAATCTCCACAAAACGTCAGGAGGATGTTCAGACCTGCTGCTGCTTGGAGACCAAGCAATCACTACGAAAACAATCTAAACAGGAGTAGGAATTTCTTAAAATTAGCAAATTTCTCTAAAATTCAAGTAGGTAAATAAAATGGAATAAATATTTTCAATAGGAGATAATTACATATTATGCACCTGAAATAAGAGACTGTGATTGTTTTTTTTTTTTATTATTTTAAATGTAAATTGTTTTATTCCATTGACAGTGTCTCATTCACCTGCTCAATAAAGAAAAATGCAATTACTTAAAGAAAATATTGCTTATTTAGATAAAATTTGTTGCAGTGAATGTCAGGACTCCTATCTGTGTGTTTGTGTTCTGTGTTTGTCTCTCTCTCTTTTTGACACAGGGTGGCTACCATTGCTGTGATATGTGTTTGAGGCAGTGATGCTACAGAGCGGAGGTCTTCAACAGGTGAAGGTACTGCATGAGGGTTGCAAAAGTTTTGGTTAATTGTACTTTTTTTTATATTCCCCCCTGCAATTTTTTCCACTAATTGAAACATCTTTAAATCCACATGAACATGAATTCAACAGACTGTAGTAAACAGATAAATGGAGGCAGAATATGTCTTTCAGTCATCAATGCACACATTCAGCGACACACAGGAGCTCTTTCAAGCTGGGCACCGTTTCATTCACAACGCCTGTCCCATCAACCAGGAATCAGAAATACTTTAATAATCCCAGGGAAATATTAATTTGTTTACCAACCCCACTATAAATAGTTTTAGTCCTGCACTGCTTCCCTCTCCTGAGACGCCGGATTGTGGACCAGAATCGCTTCAAAGCCGTATGGAAGCCTTTCTCCATGGCACCGACAACCTTGCAGCCACAGCTCCAACTAGCCACCTCAACAAAAGAGGCACGGAACATGGTCCACTCAGACTAAATGTCCCCCACCTCCCTCGGAATGTGTTTAAAGCTCTGCCAGAGATGGGAGTTAAAGGTCCTTCTCACGGGGGACTCTGCCAGACATTCCCAGCAAACCCTCACAATACGTTTGGGCCTACCACGTCTGACCGGCGTCCTTCCCCACTATCAGAGCCAACTCACCACCAGGTAGTGGTTGTTGGAGACCCCTCTCTTCACCCGAGTGTCCAAGACATGCGGCTGCAGGTCAGATGAAACAACAACAAAGTCGATCATTGAACTGTGTTCAAAGGTGTCCTGGTGCCAAGAGCACATATGGACACCCTTATGCCTGAACATGGTGTTCGTTATGGACAATCCATGACGAGCACAGAAGTCTAACAACAGAACCCAACTCGAGTTAGGGTCAGGTAGGCCATTCCTTCCAACCATGCCACCCCAGGTCTCACTGTCATTGCTTATGCGAGTGTTGAAGTCCCCCAGAAGAACAAGGGAGTCCCCGGAAGGGGCACTCTCCAGTACCCCCTCTAAAGACTCCAAAAGGGTGGGTAATCTGAACTGCCGTTTGGCGCATAAGCACAAACAACAGTCAGAACCCGTGCCCCCACAAGTATGCGGAGGGAGGCAACCCTCTCCTTCACCGGGGTGAACCCCAACTTACAGGCACCAAGATGAAGGGCAACAAGAATGCCCACTCTTGCTCGGCGCCTCTCACCAGGGGCAATTCCAGAGTGTAAGAATGTCCAGCCCCTCTCAAGGAGACTGGTTCCAGAGCCAGAGTCATGCGTCAAGGTCATTCCAACAATTTCTAGTTGTAACTTTTCAACCTCACGCACTAACTCAGGCTCCTTCCCCACCAGAGAGGCGACATTCCATGTCCCAAGAGCCAGCTTCTTCAGCCGAGGGTCAGAACGCCAGGGTCCCCGGCCTCGACCGCTACCCGTCGCACCAGTCTATCGCAGGGTATTCATTTGATATATAAAAACTTTTTTCTTAAATGTGTTTATTTAACAACCACTGATTGATTTTAAAAGAGGCTTGAATACTTTTTTATTTAAGCAAGCCTATTCTGCCTCCACATGATTTTTATGATGTTGATTTTTATCTTTGATTTTATTTGCACTGTGTAGTACTTTGAGATTTTTGTTAATGAAAAGTGCGGTACAAATTGGATTTATTATTATTATTTAAGAGCAAGCATGCAAATTAATCAACATCTAGAAAAAGTAGACTATATTTTATTATTTTCCATATGAATCCCAGATTGTTCATTCTTCTTTGCTTTTTCTAAACAGTGCTTCAAATCAGTCCTAGCTGTCTTTATCCATGCTGGCTCAGATCCTGACATTTGAAAAAGGAGGCAGGGAAAGCAGAATAAAGCATTAGCCTCGCCACATGCAGTTAGCCAAGTCTTGTAGCTAAACCAGGTCCTGGAAAAAGACAGACAGAAGTTTACCGTCTCCCTCTGTCTTTGAATTGCTGATTAATTTTGATGTCTGGCTAAGTTTGCTTCCCTCCCATGACTCGACCTGTCAGTCAGCCGCACTACACCTGTGACGAAAGTTCCTGTCTCCTCAGGGTGCACAAGAGCTGCACCCTGAGCTCTCCTATTCCTTTGTATTGCAGAGGAGCTACTGCAGATGTCTATGGCCAAATATGTTTGCACCTGAGGGCGGAAATACGTAATCTTTGAAAAACTGAGTCTTTCTAACTCGTCATAGATGTTACCTCTGCTGCTTCTGAGCGGCTGCTGCTGGATTGTCAGCTCACTGTAGGTGATGCTCTGCTCTTGTTCTTTCATCTCCTCAGCTGCAAAAAAATAAATAAATCAGAAAGTCATTATATTAATTTTTCTTCTGTTTTAAACAGGCAGAATATGTAAAATGAACACACTATAGACTTGTTCAGAATTTCCTGCTGATATTGTGACTCACCGTCAGTTTTCCTGCAAACATACCGTCTCACCAGCAGAACCAGAAGAAGTGAAAGCAAAACGATAAACATAGCAGGGACTGCTATGGTAGTAGGGAGAGGATGGGCAGCAGGAAGAGAGGAGGATGAAGGTGGAGGAGGAGGAGGAGAAGAGGGGGTTGGTTTCCCTAAAATGATCCAAAGGTAATTATTTAGTTCTTGTCTCATAATGGTCAAAGCTTATGGAGAAGCTGCTGACCTTCAACAGAGATCCAGCTGGATGGAGACTCTCCGTGACCCCTGATGTTACACCTGTAGAGGCCTTCATCAGAGCTGGTCACATGGTGGAGGGTCATGTGACCTTTGGGCTCAGTCCTGATGAGGGAGCCATCTTTATAGAAAGCAGCTGGGAGGTTGGAGGGAGTGGTCTTTGTTAGACAGCTCAGAGTGACGTCATCTCCCTCCATCACAGGGAGGACAGGACTCTGCAGGATCACTGATCCACCTCAACACAGAGACAAACTACAGCATTTCATCCATTTCCACACAGCTTCATCAACACTAACTCCACAGTCTGATCTTACCAGTGACAGAGAGCTGGATGCTGCTGCTGGCTGCTCCCTCTCTGGACGACCCACACCAGTAAACTCCACTGTCTTCAAGGAACAGGTAGGTGATGTTACAGGTAGAACCAGCTGGTTCCCCCCATCCATCTCCACACCTGTTGTTTCCTTCAGTTGTGTTCCTCCATATAGTAGAAATACCAGAGCTGTTGTTCTCCTCACAGCTCAGAGACACAGACTGTCTCACAAAGAACTGAGATCTGCTGGGACTCACAGTCAGACCAGCTGCTAGAAGGAAAAACACCTGCTTATTATTATTATTATTATTATTATTATTATTATTATTATTATTATTATTATTTAACAAAGATCCAAAGTTCTGCTCCAAACCTTAAACACATCTCTTAGCTTCTCTGATACTTGCCTCAAATAATAACACCAAAATAACTATCAACAAACATTATAGACCACTAATGCTGTGATCTACATGTACTTCATGTTTTCATTCATGAAATATTATTTTCTGAAAGTATTTTATAACTTCCTGCTGGAGAAAGCAAATGTTTTATATTAACGAGCAATATTTCAGTGTATGAAGTCATGATGATCGAAATTTAACCAACCTTTGCTTGTTGTGCAGCAGGTCATTAAAATCAGCACTGAAGAGGAAAAGCAAAAACATAATTTTAATGGATTAAACAAAAACAGTTTTGCAGCTCAGAGAACATTCTATTGAAAAGCCCTTGTGAAAATAAAAAAAATCTCCATAATGTAAGTCTGGGAATGTTGCTTTCTAACTTTGCCTGATTTAGTACTTGCCCTTTTTTTTAGTTTGATCTTTTTTGGACTTATTGTGGTGCATGTTAAATAAGATTGTGGGAATTGTTTTCAGTTTTGCGTGTTATTTTGTGTTGAGTAGGAGACGCCACCTCAACTAACCTGTTGTTTTCCACTAATGGCATAAGACAATGGCAGAAGTAAAAATACTAACGCTGATGCTATGGCTTGACAAAGTTCAGTTTAGGCAACTGGACATGATTTCTAGAAGACGTTTCTCCTCTCATCCTAGAGACTTCATCTCTTCTAACTAGTGGTGGGGAGCAGTGAGATTAATATACTGGCCCCTTCTAATGGGTCCTTAACTATCTCGTTAGAGTGGTTTTCAATGCCTCATGTTTGAGACAGGTGAGGACGGGTGGAAGGTGAATCTTCTGGGTATGGTTCCTAATAACGCTTTAAGTGAACGGGTTTATCTAAGACCAACTTGACCGTGAGAGATGTTTTTTTTTCCCAGGGTAATGAAAATGGCTTTCTTAACCCCTCTTTCAAACCATCTGTCTTCCTTGGCCAGAATATGGACGTTGTTGTCCTCGATGTACTTTAGACTTCAGGTGTAGGTGAACAGCTGACTCCTCTCCTGAGGGGTTGGCCCTCTCGTGTTGAGCCATGCACCTGTTTTGCTTGCTGAATGGCGTAAAGCATTCTGTGGGTCTTGGTTCTGTGTTTCTTGTCTTTGGGGTGAACCTGTTTTTGTCTCAGGGTGTTTCTGGTTTGAAGTGTACAGGGATCCAGTTCTAGTTGAAAATCCTCCTGAGACCCAGCAACATATTTTCTCTCTTGGCACTCGTAGGAGGAGGACGTTTTTTCTGTCTCCAACTTCCTCCCTGTATATCCTGCTTAGCTTCTCTGTCTTGTCTTCACTTGGTTTTTGCTATGTGATGAGGTTTTTTTTTTTGCAATCTTAAACTGTATCTTGCTAAGCATAGATTATAAAATCGTATTTTTTTCCTCCACTCACCTATTGTGATCCCTTTCTTTGTGTTTTTCTTCTAATAAAGTGGCAGTGCCTTTTTACGGCAGCAAGGCCTCGGACATCCCATCCCCCTGTGTCTGTATATTGTCTGTCTCTTTTGTCTTTTCTTGGATGGGCTGTACCAAACCTGAAATTTTGCCCTACTGGAGTATCACTCGAGGCTGGGTGAAATGAAAAAATCTTGAATCTTCAGTATGGAATGATAATGTTCCTTCTTCTCATAGTTGGTTTTTGGAAAAACCCGTCGGAGAAAACCACCGATCTTCAGGCTGTCCTGATGTGTCCCTGGTCTCTCATCTTCCATCTCTTGGTGGTGGGAATAGTTTCTGTCAGGACTCCTGTCTGTGTATTTGTTTTTGAGTTTGTCTCCCTTCCACCAACAGGAGGCGCCTGGTTCTGGTCCACCTCCTCACACACCTGCTGACGGTTACCTTGTTAACAGAGTGCTCTTAAGCTGCTGTTTGTCACTACCTCCACCCCAGAGTGTTTGCCAGTTTTTGATTCTCTAGCCAAACTGAGTTTTCTCTGAGTAAGACTGAGTTCTTGTCTCCCCGAGTTTTAACTTTGTTTTTTGTCCTTTGCCTCTTGGCAGGAAGTCATCCTGTAAACTGGACCTTTTTCGGACCTCCTCTCCCAGGAGGGATCAACTGAGTCTAAACTGAGCCATGGATTCAAACAGGAGGTTTGTATCCAGTCTCCTTTGAGGATGTTGAAAATACTCTCTGAGCAAGGTGTGGAATCAAGGTTTTTCCTTGGCCTATTTTGTGTGATAAAATGTTATTTTGAATAGAAGTAAGGATAGAGAAATTCTGTACCGTTCACTATGCTATACTATTTAGGGGGACAGAAAGCAGGTGCCTCCCCTCCCTACTCTAGATAAGGGTGAGGGGAAGGTCATTAGAAATAATGAGTTCACAAAGCCTCCTTCATGCTATGGTTAAAACTTATGCTCTTATTGTTCTGTTTCTGGTGTGAACGGAATACAATTTTCTGAAATGTTTATCTGAGCAAATTTATGTCTTTTGATAAACTAGAGTGTTTCTCTTGGGAAGAATCAATGTTCGCGTGTGTGTATGCTGTGGATTCTTTTTAAATGTAGGGGTGTGTTTCTGAATGCTTCAGAATCGCACTCAACTGTATTCAGCTGGTTTGTGCTATTCTCCTCTGCAGAGTAAAATAAAACATTTTCTTCCTTCCATATCAACTCTCAGTGCTCATTTTTTTTACTCCACAAAGGGAATCATCTTCACCAAGACCCGTTTAAGTACAGTAGGAAATCTGAGTGGCAATCAGCGTCTCCGTTCACCCACTCCGTCCGAGTTCTGGGTAAACCCTGTTCCGCCCTCCACCGAATCAGACATACACTGGAAAACCAACACACAGATTGAAGTCAAGGATCCTTCACTTCTCTGGAAACCTGAGTCAACAACCCGATCCTCTCCCTCAAGATCAACGAATCAAATTTCCCACTGAGCCTGAACTAACAGTCTGTCCTCCCTTTGCCTTCCAGTTCCGGCTGAGCTGAGTTCAGGGAAACTCTGCACCGAGCTTAACATCTTCAATAAAATCCGTCAAACTTTTCATCCGTGTCTCTCTGTTTGGTTTCCCTGCATGTGGGTCCGAGCCTTAGATAAAATCATGACAGTTTCTGCTTGTGTCTGAGGCGTTCTAATGATGCCTAATTACCATTGATCGCCCCCCAGGTGACCTCCATGGTCAATCCAGTTGGAGGGGGTCAGGCCCATCTTTTGTCTTAGTTTTCTTCACAAACTAAATATGAGTAGTACTATGGGATCAAAGAAAGAGTTTTTAAAGTTGGCACCCAGCCTCAGTTAAACCAGCTAGATTCCAGCAATCAGGATCGAAATGTCATTCAGAGAGGAACAGGGTTAGGGTTATTCTAGGTCTATTCTATTCTATTCTATTCTATTCTATTCTATTCTATTCTATGAACAGCACGTTGATTGTCTTTCCATTGAAACGTGCTACATAAATAACTCCGCCTTGGCCGTTGAGAGACGATCCGGCGCAGTGGCGAGGCCTGGTGACGAGAGTTGAGGGAAAATCTGAGACCACAGAGGAGGATGCCAGTCTACTAAGACTGGTTCTTTTCCCATGAAGACTTTTGTAACTGCAAGGCCTGTTTAGTAAAAATAAATCTGTAATAAATGCTGTAATAATCCTACTATAATAAAAAAAGTGCTGTCATAGGTGGACGCACTCTACATACTGTACATACTGTATATCCCATGCACCTTTTTCTTCCTTTGGCACATTATTCTCCTTTAACTATTTGAGCTGATGTAATGACAAATTTCTACACTTTGAGATCAAAAAAGTTTAATGAATGAATAAATGAATGAATGAATGAATGAATGAATGAATGAACCAATCAATCAATCAATCAATCAATCAATAATAAATAATATATCAAATGTATCTAATTCTAAAGTTTTCCTTTTCCCTCTGTTTACCTCCATGTTTCCAACCTGTGTGGTCATTTGCTTTTAGCCCCATGAGTCCAGCAGTTGTTGCTGAATCGTATCTGGAACTGTTATCAGTCCATTTAACTGGATTTTTTTGGTCCCATTATGAAGACGTTTATAATATATATGTATTGCATCTATATCTATATATCTGTAAATTCTCTTTTTTCTATTATCTATATATAAATTCTATTTTTAATGTCCTTTGACAGAAAGAAAATGAGTCACACCATACAAACTTTATGTGAAAATAACAGAGGAAATGCATCAGAAGAAGAATAAATGAGGTCATAGTGTGAGCTCATTGATGTAGAGAGCTAGCAGGTTAAAATATGTTTTAAAGCAGGCAGTGAGGCAGGCTTTACAGTAGGGTTATTCTACAGTTTAGGAGAATCCTCTGAGCTTCCTGCAATATCTAGTAACCAAATAAACCTGTTTAGCGGATCTGAGGGACAGGGAACGTGGGTCGGAATGAAGACAGTCATATGGAGAAAATATCCAGGCATTACTGTTGTACTTATAAATGAGAATGCAGATCAGTGAATAAGCTTTGATTATATTTGCCTATCCATAAAGAATAATGTGTAAAATAAAATTACAGAAGTTTCTTTATGGATGCAGAGCAAAAAACTAAAGCTATAACAAAGCAGATGTGACAGGATGTTTCCTCCTCCGTTCGTCTGTCTCTCTGTCAAAGTTTAAATGAGCCTTAAACATTTTAACAGTTCCCTAAAGTCAACAAAGTTAACAAAACTGTTCGTACGTGTCTGACCTTAGTTTCTGGTAATATTGGTTCAGTCGTCACCACAGGCTGCTGTAAATCTGCTATGTGGGGCTTTTTTTTGTTTGTTTTACATTCTTCGCCTAAAAGGATGCTGAAGACAGGAAAGCTATTTTAGCACCTTGCACATCAGCAAGTTTCAAATGCCCCTTCAGTCACACCTCTGTTTCACATAAAGGCCAGTGTTTACAGAATTACGCAACATTTCTGCAAACGTATTGAGTTTAGCAACAAATCAGGCAGAAAAAGTTCCTACAAACTGTATTAAGTCTTTGGAAAATGTAATAAGATTTTCTTCTGCTGCTTTAGTTTTTGCATTTCTGGGAACTCTATCAGTTCCTGCTCAGACCTGCTTTACACTTGGTGCATATTTAACCTTCCTGCAGTTTGTTTCCCAGCTTTTCTAACACAGTAAAAACACCAACTGTACATTTGAAAGAGTGTACTTACCGAGCAGAACTCTGACAGATGCTTCCTTCATTGTGGCTTTCAGGGTCTGGACTGATCTTCACTGATTGTCGTAGAAACAAAGTTAAACCCACCCTCTTCCTTTATGAGGCAACAGAAACCAATTTCTAATAAGTAAAAACTGTTGTTGAGGAAAAGATCTGTTTGTAGGATAAATAGTTATTCTAATAATTACGATGGGAAGTTTTAGGCAAAACATCGTTTACTTTTTAAATGAGTGGACATGAGATGGAGGTGATTGTTTTTGGAGCTAATGCCACTGGTGGACTGGAGGTCATAGAGAGACTGCTAACACCAACCCTGGTTTTAATCTGGATGAGCAGATTTATGCTTTAGTAACAGCATTGAAATTGTCCTTATTGCACCTTCAGCTGGTGAAAAAACAGCTGCACAGTTTTAAACTGGAACACCGGGGACAGAGCTCATTGCTTCTGTCTAATCCTCTCTGCTCTGCCTGTCGTACATTTTAGAGTTCATTTTAAAAAGTCATTATTTTTTTCAGGTCCTTCAGTGGTCCTGCCTCTCTCTACATCCCTAAACTACTGCTGCTGTTTTCCCTGCTAGGTCCCTTAGATCACATGACCTGTTGTTAGCAGGGCTACTAACCCGCTCTGGGAAATTGAAACTCTTTTTGTAGCAGTTTGCAAATGCTTTGCTGCTATAAGTTACAATTGCTTCTTCCATAGATATTTTGAAGCTGCTCCTGGTCTCTTATGCATTTAAACTGTTTCCTACAGTAGCAGCCGTTCAAAATGGCCCTTCCCAGTCAAAAGCCAGCCGGATAGCCGCACAATCCACTCCAACTTCCAGCCACTGGCCTTCTCCTGGGCATGCATATTTTTTTCATATTTTAGATATTTAAAAAGGAATTGTAGGGGACTAGCCAAGGACTACCAAGAACCAGCTAAGGACCAGCCAAGGACAAGCCAGGAACCAGCCAAGGACCAGCCAAAGACCAGCCAAGAACCAGCTAAGGACCAGCCAAGGACCAGCCAAGAACCAGCCAAGGACCAGCCAAGAACCAGCTAAGGACCAGCCAAGGACCAACCAGGAACCAGCCAAGGACCAGCCAAGAACCAGCTAAGGACCAGCCAGGAACCAGCCAAGGACCAGCCAAGGACCAGCCAGGTACCAGCCAAGGACCAGCCAAGAACCAGCCAAGGACCAGCCAAGGACCAGCCAAGAACCAGCTAAGGACCAGCCAAGGACCAGCCAAGAACCAGCTTGGCATCCTAAGACATATGTCCCAGGATTCCTCACAACCCTGTCTTCTCTGACCACTTTCTAATAAGCTTCAGGATTAGTTTAACAGAGCTCTCCTCCCCCAAAAGAAGGATCAATTTTATCAGATCATTATCAGATAGTGCAGTTATAAATTTAAAATAATGTGGTTCCCTTCTCTCTCCTCTGTGTCACTGAGCAGTGCTGCAGAGTGCAAAAGCTTAGTTTATTCCCCTTCACAGGTTGATGATGTTGTTGATGGGGTTGCTAGTTCTCTGCGTACTGCCTTAGACAACGCAGCTCCTTTGAAAATGGAAACCATTAAAAAATGAAAGCTGGCTCCTTAGTTTAATGCAGAGCTGCGTACTTTGAAGCTAAAAGCTAGGAAACTGGAGAGAAAATATCGCTCCACAGGCCTACGGGAATCCTACCTAGACTGGGAAAATAGTTTACTGCTGTATAAGAGGACCCTTTGTAAAGCAAGAGCAGCATACTTCTCCTCATTAATAGAGGAGAATAAGAATAATCCTAGATTTCTTTTTAATACAGTTGCAAAACTCACCCAGAGCCATGGCTTAGTTGAACCATTCATTCCACCTGCTCATACAAGTAATGATTTTGTGGGATTCTTTACAAATAAGATTGATCTTAGTAAAAATAAGATCGTTAGCACCCCTCTATCTACGATTGGTTTGTCTCTGGAGGGTGGGGCAGCATCTGAGGTAGTCATGGAATCTGATCCAGGTTTAGACTGCTTTGATCCAGTTGAACTTTCAGAGTAAGCAAAACTATTGTCTTCATCTAAGACTTCAACTTGTATGTTAGATCCAGTTCCAACCAGGTTATTTAAGGAGGTATTCCCTTTGATCTCCTCCTCCATTTTAGATCTGATTAATCTATCTCTGTTACAGGGATATGTACCTAAAGCTTTTAAGGTTGCTGTAATTAAACCTCTGCTTCAGAAACCGTCTCTTGACCCAGATGACTTGGTCAATTATAGACCTATATCCAATCTTCCTTTCTTATCCAAAATTCTTGAGAAAGTAGTTGCCAAACAAGTTTGCGATCGCTTCCACCATAATGAACTTTTTGAAGAATTTCAGTCTGGCTTTAGAGCTCATCATAGCACTGAAACAGCTCTGGTGAAAGTCACTAATGATATTCTCATGGCCTCAGTTAATGGACTTGTATCTGTGCTCGTCCTGTTGGATCTCAGTGCTGCATTTCATACAGTTCATCATAATATTCTTTTAGAAAAACTTGAATATTTTGTCGGAATTAAAGGAACAGCACTAGACTGTTGATCATGTTGCATTATGAAGAATAAAGATTTCTGTTTCGGCTTTTTCAAACTATTAATGGACACAGGGAAAAATAATGTAGCCAAGGCCTAATCAAACATCCCATGTACAACATTGTTTTTGGGGTTAGTTAGTTGTGTTGATCATGGTGCATTATAAGGAATTAAGATTTCTGCTTCAGCTATTTCTTTTTTATTTTTTCAAGAGACAATCAAACATGTCTGATTACCATTGCATTGAGTGAGTTGATAGCAGAAGAAAAAAACTGTTACTGCACACACGAACATACTTGGCTATGGCAACTAAGATGGTCAAAATGCACGATTGATAATGTGTACACATTTCCACCTTCCATTAGATGTGCTGGGGAGCCCTCTTGTGATATATTATTGCAAGTCATTTGATTCATTTAGTGGGCCATGAACATGCATGGTGATGATGGTGACAATAATTATAGTAGTAATAATAATACAATATTAATAACAACAGCAATGATAATAATGTATAATGATAATAATAATAATAATAATAATAATAATAGTAGTAGTAATAATAATAATAGTAACAATGATGTTAATGGTGATATTGCTGCGGATGATGAAGCTGATGATATTTTAAAAAGTCACCATATTAGGATGTTTTTTTGTCAAGTAAGATTTAATCACAATATTTGACCTCAGTATTTCAAAAATCCTGGTCACAGCCCTGGTGGGTACCCTAATAGATGGGAAGAATTACGCCAGTTAGTGATAACAGTAGACAGGTACAGATGTTAATGGTAGAGTTTTATTGTCATCACAGTGTTAACTGCAGAATAAAGCCCCTGTCAACCAGAACCCTAATGATTATTGATTTATTTATGTCCTGGACTGTGTAACATTTACCGGTATTGTCCAGCAGAGGGAGCTGCTATTTCAGAAACCAGCTCCCTTCCTTTGATGCTGAGGTTTGGCATCTCATTTCATTTTAAAGGAGGACCTTCAGTCACTGAGGCTCTGGAGTACAGAGATATGAGCCTCTAAATCATGGGTTTACCTGTGACCCTAAAGATAGCAATGAAACAGACTGGATACACCTTAAAGATACAGATTTTCAATTTAATTTAAACTATATTTTACACTTTAAAAAGCATTATAAAAGAATAATAAAGTAAGCTACAATAAAAAATGCTCATATGAGCATCATATGAGTCCATAAAATGGAAACCTAACACAGTGAGCAGAGTCCAGGGTTGGTCAGGGTGGCGGTGATGCTGTTTGCAGATTAGGACTTTGCACCACCAGGGTAAGAAGCCAGATTTACGCCTGTGAACACTCTGCTGGCACTATTCCATCATGGGAATCTGCAGTATCTGCAACCATCCTTATATCCGCATTCAGTCTTTTCAAACTGCAGCACTGCAGTATATCTTGCAGTGCAGGAAGTTTTAAATAGTTTAATCCCAACATGTTTTCCAGAACTGTTGATCAGAATATCAGCCTGTTTTTTTTTTCTGTAAAAGTACCTCTGATCTGATAGGTCTGCAGTGACACCAATACCTACATTCCTCAATGACATTTAGCTTGGTGACAGACAAACGAATCCTAGAACTAATCCTAAAATGTAAATTTAAATCAAAGTCTATTTCACATCTATAGCATAGCTAGAGCAGCTCTAGTAAGCCAGCAATATATGGACTAATGATCACTATATCATCTACATACATGCTGATAATTCTGTTACCAACGCTGCAGCCTTTACCATGGTCATTTCAACCACTGAAAAATAAACAGAATAAAAACAGAAACAAAATGCTGCCCTGTCTCAAACCACCTAAACATTAAATGAACATGATCATTACATTAATGTGTTGCTATATTTTCTGTCCAATCAGATTTCAGCCTCCATTTGTTGCTATGTAAAACAGATCTGCTCAGGGCCTTCAGACCTAGCAGTGCTTTCTGATGCTACCTTAACAATATAGTGAGGAACATTTTCTTTAACCGACCAGAGGGCCCAGCTAGAGGGCCCATCCCTATGTCAGCATTTTCTGTCCTCTGATTGGTCAGTTAAGGCTAAATGTTCATTGCCAACTTAAGCTAGCGGCAATCTGCATTTTAGATTTGGTTTTGTTCCAAGTTTTTTTGGCCTCAATGGCTGACAGTAAAAAATAAAGTCTAATCAACCAAAACTTTCGTTACCCCATGCAGTACCTCTGTGGACCCCCTAGGGATCTCGGACCCCCTGTTGAAGACCTCTGGAGTAGAGGATTGCTTTTGTCTTAGCTGGTCTTCTTGATTAATTGAGCTCTGTATTCACCCTCACACTATTCTTCCTCTCTGTTAGACCTGAGCTTATTACTGTTCAGATTTTAATACTACTGGTGGTTTCTTTTATTAAAATAAAACAGTGGGGAAATTAACCACTTGACACCCATCGTTGCAAGTATGCAACAATAACTTTGTATAAATATCATATGCATTCTCTAAATATATATATTTATATACATTTGGATGTCAAGCGATAAGAAGTAGATTGAGTTGAGGGGTGCCCACTGAAGACCTAGGTACCAGATGAACAGCCCGCCACTGTAAGAAATGGTGGTGAGATGTCTGTTTTATTGATTTCATTTAAAGCAAAAATTCATGCCTGTGCCATGATTACTTTTGAAACCAAGCTGGTGGTGAGAGATCAACAAAAAAATCCAATCTGACTGGATGATCTGGTAGAATTGTTTCTTTTTGTTATATAAACATTGACTAGAGATGAGAAGAGACTCCATTATTTAGTCATACAGTGAGCTAACTCAACTTTATGATGCAGATTATGTACACTGGTATACAGATGTGCCAAAAGTGCTAGATTGATAATGTGCATATCATATACAGGTATTGATGACATTGTTATGGTAATTACATATTATTATATGATTTAAAGATTTTACATCAAGACTGAATTACAAGTACATGTCTGTTAATGCTGTAGTATTTTCCTATTTACAGATAATGAATGATTGATGCCGTACACTTTTACATTTTTTTCATCAATATTTCAGTACATGGCCTTTTCAAATGAGAAATACAACAAACACTACAAAAACGACAGCATTATCCATTTAATAAAGAATTACTATATTGACATTTCACAGTGGATTTCTTTCTATTTACTCTACTGTCTATTTTCTAACATTAGACACAATGTCAATGGCTAACTAAGTTAATTTCATTGAGTCTGTCCCAGATAGCCAGACTAATGTTACGCTACATACTATACTATAGGATCCATCGGCGTATATTTGGATGTTCTTGTTTGGTTCATCCACTGACTGTGAAATTATCTGTGAAACTCCCCACAGCCAGCAAACTGCTTGTTTTTGCCGCCAAATGCTACACATGTAGGCCTTTTTACTGCGCATCTCTGTGGGTGTGGGGAGTAACAATATGGCGGCCGGTGGCTTCACTTTTTTCTGGATAGCAGCAATCACTTGAATTTAAAAAGATCAATGGAAATGGGCTCTATGCACAACTCCACTACTTCCTGATCTTAAGGCAGCTCCTTTGTTTTCTGTCTTTTTCTCTGGGTTAAATTTTAATCCCAGGTGTGCCTGACCTCAGGAACCATAACGGAAATGGCCAGACACACCAGGATGAATCAATTCATCCAGTAGAAAAAGACTGAAAACAGAAGAGCTGCCTTAAGTTCAGGAAGTAGTGGAGTTTTGCATAGCACCCATTTGCTGACAAAAAATATTTGCATGCCTTGTATTTCAACCTGGCAAGACTCATGCAGAAGACAAGCATTGATTAGAGATTTGTATTGAAATGAGAAATATAGTTTTTGGTCTTCGGGCCCGAGTGGAAGCTCAAAACCACAATAATGGCTGAACAGATGAAATAGGTGATTTTAGGTAACACTGGTGGTAGAATGGAGGCCCAAAGGAATAATGGAGCAAGATGAAGACATGAGGATGATGGTTGAGATTGAGGGAGGGTTGTAGCTTGATGGTAGAGAAAGCCATTAGCACACTGGTGCCAAACTGGTCCCAGAAAGGGCCGTGTTGCTGCTGTGTGATTTACCATCCGAAAGCAATAGCACACCAGACTCCAGTCATCTCACCATATGGCCAGGTTAAGACCAGTGTTGCATCGATACCGATACCAGTATCGGGCGAGGCCCCGTTATTGCACTTCAATGGTGGTATCGGTATCGGTGAGTACCAATAAATAGGGCACTGATACCATTTTGAGAGCTAAAAGTTTATTCAACTATTGTCACCTATTCCAGGTAGGCAATAAAAAGTTCTACTAGATTTACTTTGGTTTAGTCTTTTCCTGCTTCACAAAGGTAGGCAGCAGCTTGACGAAGCAATGATGGCAATTATTTTACATCCAAGTAGTATGCAGTTCTTCATATACACACACACACACATCAATTTCAAACAGATGGTATTGGTAATTTGTCTGTATCAGCCAAACTGCACAGGTAGGCGCAACACTAGTCTTAACTAGTGTTGCACAGATGCCATTTTTTGGCCCCGATAGGATACCCTATACCTGGCTGTGCAGTATAGGCCGATACAGATACCATACCGATAACGTATGGTTAAAATTGATGTGTGTGTATATATCCAAAGAACTGCATACAACTTGGATATAAAATAATTGCCATCATGGCTTTGTCAAGCTGCTGCCTACCTTTGTGAAGCAGGAAAAAGACTAATACAAAGTGAATCCAGTAGAACTTTTTATTGCCTACCTGGAATGGGTGACAATTGTTGAAGAAACTTTTGGCTCTGAAAATGGTACCAGTGCCCTATTTGTTGGTACTGGCCAATACCGATACCACCATTTTAGTGCTGGATCGGGGCACTTTCCGATACTGGTATCGGTGCAGCACTAGTTAAGACTGAACCCACGTGATGAGATGACTGGAGTCTGATATATTAACACTTTTGGATAGAAAGACACTCAGCAGCCTGTTTGGCACCAATGCATTAGCAGAATGCAGTCCTAGATCAGTGTTTTCCAACCCTGCTCCTCCAGACACTCTGCTCTGCATGGTTTAGAAGTTTCTGTGCACGAACACACCTGATTCAGGTGATTTCAATCCAGCAAATCCCAATAATCTGCTATCAATTGATATCAGGTGTGTGGAAGATGGGAAACATCCAAGACATGCAGACCAGTGTGCTCCTTGAGGAGCAGGTTTGAAAACACTTTAGCCCCTTTGACAACTTCATGATTTAGAAAAACGCTGGCATACATTGGATAAGTTATGGGTATGATTTTTATAAGTAATGAGCACGCTGAAGTGCACTGAAGCACGCTTAAACACGTCGGCATACAGCAGGTATGTTTTGAGCACGCGTTATGCTGCCATGCGTTATGCATAAGGTAGGCTGTGCTTGGACATAAGTTCTGGACTCGTTATGAATACGCTATGTATACGCCCATTGAAAAACTACATAAAAAGTTAAACGTATGCCAGCTTTTTTAGGAGATTCTGGGACGTCAGGCATACGCTGGCTAAATCGACAAGGTGTTACAGAGTCCTAACCTGGATGATGATTAGCTGTGTGCAAAGGCCGGATAGATTTGCAGCAGCAAAGCTTTAGAGGGTGAAGAGCTGATGCTGAATTAAGTCTTTTACTCTTTTTTTTTTCTTTGCTTAATCTTCCTTTACAGAAGTGGGAGGAGTTTAGTCTGGAAGTTTTTTATGAAGTTTCACTTTCTATTAGAAAAAAGGCATTGTTTTTTCTTTTGTTTTATTAAACTAAAAGTATTTTCTTCCTGACTAAACCCTCCCCATTTGTCCGGGCTTGGGACCGGCATTAGGGCAACATCCTGTCTCCCCAATGGCTGGTTTACAATGATGTGAAAGAAGTGGAAAGTGACCGCTCTTATCTACACCTGTTGGTGAAAGCTCCTGAAGGCTGTCAACTTGAATATAAATGGGGGATGAAGGTACTCTTTTCTTCTTCTTTTTCAGGAGCAACACGGCACTGACAGCAGACACAATCACAGCTGCGACAGACACCAGCCCAACACACAGTCCAATGAGTCCAACACCTGTAGAACAGAACCAGATGTTAGCCTGATTCATCAGATAGAACATCATCTACTGCGCTGAAACCAGCTGCTTTCTACACACTCTCATCATCAGCATATAAAGAAATGTCAACATCTGATCTGAGGTGAAAGGGAAGTTATGTCCTTCGTTGTACAGCTTTAAGATGTCAGGATATCCTTCATTGAATGTCAAGTTCATTAAGCTTTGGATATTGGTCATTATCGATGGCTTGTTCTTCAAAACATGACAAGCACTTGTCTAAGATAACATCACATCTTTACAGAAGTTAATGAACTCACTAATAGTGTAAGTTTGAAGACATTTTGCTTCCCATCCAGGACGCTTTTTGAATTCAAAATGTCTGCAGCAGTGTTGAGTTCCAGGCTTACAGAGAGGCCCGAAGGTGTTACAACACCTGGTTGGTGTTCATGCCTGAAGGCAGGAAGGATCTTCTGTAGAGGTCTGTCTTGCATTGGATCTGGAGAAACCTCTGACTGAAGACACTCCATTTTTGTTTAACATTCTTCTGAAGAGGATGCTCACTGATGTCCACAATGTTCATCATTTCATGAATGTTCTTCTTCATGAAATCATCTTCAGACGTTATAAAGGAGTTCCTAGAACAGAGCAGACCTTCTTTATCAGCTTGTTGACCTTCTTTTTATATCATTAGCTTTAATGCTGTTACTCCAGCAGATGGAAGAAGAGATCAGATTCTCCACAACAGACTTATAGAAGATATTTAGCTTCTTGCCGTAGGACCTAAGCTTCCTTAGAAAGTACAATCTCTTCTGTTCATTCTTGTAGATGGCTTCAGAGTTGCATCTCCAGTCTAGTTTATTGTCCAGGTGAACACCAAGGTACTTCTACTCCTCCACCATCTCCAATTCTTCTCCCATGATGTTAATGTGATTTAACTTGTTTCTGCTTCTTCTGAAATCTACAATCATCTAATTTGTTTTGTTGACATCTGGAATCAGATGATTGCTTCCACACCTTGACACAAAGTGGTTCACTAGTTCTCTGCAATAGTGACTAAAGAGCAGACACATCTCCTTCACCATCAGAGTTCTGCTGTTCAGACATTAGAACCACTAAATTCCAAAGATACTCCATCAGCAGAAGGATCTGGGACTTTTACAGAAATTATGACAACGATAAAATAAAGTAGTTTAATGTAGATCACCTGTCAGACCATCAGAACCATCTTTGTTTCCTCCATCATCTTGGCTTTCATGATCGGATCCTGTAGAAAAGATCAAGGTGTTAGTGGGAGATTTCAGGATAATTAATGGCCTGTCCTGGCATCACATGTTATCAAGTTAAAGGAGTCCAGATTCATTCATTCACTCATTCATTCATTCACATGCTGATGATGCTAAGCTAACATCAAGGTAGCCTCAGCTGTCCTGGGCATACTGATGGGGAAGAACCAGGGAGGTTCTAAACCAGAGACTCACCCAGAGGACGAAGAACGTTGAGTGTGATGGTGCTGATTGGTTTAATGGCTCTCTTCCTGCGGACTGTTTTTTTTAGAACATAACACTCATATGTTCCGCTGTCTTCAGACGTCACGTTCCTCAGAACCAGAGAAACGTCTCCGTTCTGTAGGTCCTTCAGCTCCACTCTGCCCTTGTAGCCCGGTTTGGGGATTTTTGGGTCTAAGTTTTTGTTTCTTAGGATGAGAACATATTCTAGGTGTTCTCCAGGTCGGCTCCACTCCACCACTTTAAAGGGCATGTACCCCTCAGCCTTGCATGGCAGAGTAACATCTCCTCCAATCACAGCGGAGATGCTCCGATCTACAGGAGAGACACAACACAGAGCAGCTTAACAAAGAGGAAACTCAGGTTGGAATCAGACTTCCTCATCCTGGATATCTACATAATGTTTTCCTGTAGAAGAACAATGAGAAACATTGTGGAGAACAGAGAACTTAGAGTCAATAACTAACTGTAACGAAACAGAAAATCAGGTTCTTATTAGACAAACTGTTATTTTCCTCTAACCAAAATGTTTAATGGGATTAAAATATGTTCAGGTTTAATAATCTGAATAAACCTAAATCTAAATCAAACAATCTAATCCTGAGCTGTGTTCCCCTGCATCAGCTTTTAATTAGAACAGAGGAGATTTGACATGTACTGCACTGTTAACTTCAAGCAGCTGCAGAGGAAGAGTTTAAAAAAAGAAGAGCAGACACAGAGTTCTGGTTCTGAGAGCAGCTGTCTCATCCTGATCTTGGGTTACAGAATGAGAGAGGGAGGAAATGAGTGCACATCTCCTCCCTTCATCTATATACACATGCAGTCAGTTTAACCTTATCAGGCTGTTAATGTTTAACTTATGTCAAGTTCCTCATTCGGCTCAGTAGGCTGTAAAGTTCTGTTTCTAGTGTTACAGTAAAAACACATCAGTATGGGGAAGGTAGGCTTAATATTATAAACATTTCAAACAAAGTGCTGAAGGCATTACAATAAAAACATAAAATACATAAATAGAAATGTAAAAAGTATAAAAACAGGACTTGTAAGAATTTTTCAACTTATAAAATGGAAATGAACAACAGGTAGTCTGTATTTTCTACACCTTAAAATAGGGGGTTTTCTATTCGAGAAAGAAAAGAAAAAGGGAATTAAGGAAACAGAAACGGTAAGTATAAATCTATAAAACCCACCTTCTGGAGAGGCAGAAATGGCTTGACAGAGACCCACAAGAATGAGAAGGACCACCCTGCCCATGTCTCTTATTCCTGAGGTCGGACATAGACAGAATCTTCTCATTCCTGTGGAAATCTGCAGGCGATGATGTTGCTTCTGCAGCACTCAGAAAATGTCTGCCTGAAAGATGGTTAATCAAATGTTAAGTAGAGAGAAACTCAGCCCCACCCAGAAGGAGAGCACTGTGCTGACAATGGCTGTAAAGCATTATAGAACATATCAGGAAACGAAACAAGAAACTTAAGGTTGATCTATTATTGTTATTAGATTTATACATTGCTGGATTTTAAAAGCGCAACTTAAAATAGATCAGCTAAACAGCACTATGAATAAATACTGAGCACTAGAGGAGCTTTGAGGTGCAGCAAAGAGGTGCAAGGGGGACTGTGAATAAAAAATAAAGTCCTATACAATGAAAAAAAGACATAGGGAGAATGAAAGAGCAGTTTATAAATCTCATTGGACAGTTATTCACTTGGTTATTCAGTTAGATTTAAATCATTCAGGTTTCAGTCCAATTGCACATTTACTGATCATGGATCAAACTACATTAGAAAATGCAGAGATAACATTTGTATAACATTATACAATGAGTGTTATGAACAGTGTTGGGCACGTTACTTTGAAAAAGTAATTAGTTATAGTTACTAGTTACTTCTCCCAAAAAGTAACTGAGTTACTAACTGAGTTACTCCGCAATAAAAGTAACTAGTTACTAGTAAAAGTAACTATTGCGTTACTTTTGCGTTTCTCGCCCCCGTAACCCTCCCCACCCGGCCCCCACCTTCTCGCCGTGTGTTTCCAAAGCCAGCTGAATAGAGCGGACGACAAAGACAAGAACCTGCAGAGAGTTTTGCATTTCTTGTAACTCAATGTAAATGACATCAGGGGGGAACGCCATGTGAAGTTTTTTAACAGGGCATTCAGATCTGGTGAGTTTATGAAATTAATAACTGGGGATGTCTAATTCTGAAATCCTGTGTGTTTGGGTTGTTATAGATACTGCAACATCTATCATCTATCATCTATCTATCTAGATGTATACTCTGTGTGTGACATAAAATATGGATCTCCATCCCTGCCACAAAGGCCATCAAATAAAGTTTAAAATAAAAAATACAGTAGGTTGAAAAGTCAGAGTAACCATCCATCCATCCATCCATCCATCCATCCATCCATCCATCCATCCATCCAGATTTCTCCCTTTCATTTGATCGTTCACGCTCTCCATAGTTCTCCTGTGGCGCGAGCACAGGGCGACTGTGGCGCGCCTTTAGCGAGCATGCGCGTTTCCTGTCGCTTGCGCGGTGATTCTTGCCGCCTGCGCTGTGCGGAGATGCAGAGGAAACCGTTATGTGATGGGGAAACGCAGCTCGACGTAACACCGGTATTTCCATCTGGAAAACGCTGTTTTGCTGCTGGAGTCATCCTCACTCTCCATCTCTCTGTGTGTGATGTACGTTAACACCCGCCAGCAGAAACACCCAACTGACAGACAGAATCTCACTATTCATCAGCCATTCTCATCCTCCCCTCTCTCATGACAAGGCGCGCACCTCTGGATGACCTAAAAAATAATCTTTAATATCTCTTAAACAAAAGTAGCACAAACAATATTTTTTTCTGCATAAATCTGCACTAACGTTGCACTAACCATTCAGTCTATTTGCAGAGTTTTTTGACGTGGGTGGGGCGTCAGCTTCACACAGCTGCGCACGAGTCCTATCATGAAAAAAGGTTCATTGTGCGACCTGAGTAGCGCAGTAACGGGGTGTCTGCAATGGTAACTGCGTTATAGTTACAGTCAAAGTAATTAGTTAGATTACTCGTTACTAAAACAAGGTAACGGCGTTAGTAACGCCGTTACTTTCAACGCCGTTAGTCCCATCACTGGTTATGAATACGTGTAATGAAGCCATCCCAAAGTCTCCCATTTACAATATTCCTGTCAGGGCTCCTGTCTGTGTGTTTGTGTTTTGTGTTCGTCTCCCTTCCACCTGGTTCTGGTTCGCCTCCTCACACACCTGCTGATGGTTACCTCGTTAACGGAGTGCTCTTAAGCTGCTGATTGCCACTACCTCAACGCCAGAGTGTTTGCCAGTTTTGGGTACTCTAGCCAAGCTGAGTTTTTGCTGAGTAAGACTGAGTTCTTGTCAACCTGAGTTTAAACTTTGTTTTTTGTCTTTGCCTCTCGGCAGGAAGTAATCCTGCAAACTGGATATTTCGGACCTTCACTCCCTGGAGGGATCAACTGAGCCTCAGACTGAGCTGGGAATTCAAACAGGAGGTTTCGATCCAGTTCCCCAGAGAGGACGTTGAGTTTACACACTGAGCAAGGGAATCATCTCCACAACGACCCGTTCAAGTACCGCAGGAAATCTGAGTGACAGTCAGTTTCCACGTTCACCAACAACCAACCGTGTTCTTCTCCCACTGAGCCTGAACTAATCGCTGTGTCTTCCCCTCACCTTCCAGTTCCGGCTGAGCAGAGTTCAGAACAACACTGCACCATGCTTTATCTCTTCAATGAAACCTGTTAAATCTTTTCCCCTGGTCTCTCTGAATTGGTTTCTCTGCATGTGGGTCCGAGCTTTAGATAAAACCATGACAGTTCCAGAGTTTAAGCCTGATATAAGGAAAACACTCAACAAAATATAACCTGTTAAAACTGCAGATAATTATATTACTGCCTTTTACAAATATATATTACAGCATTTTACAAATAAACACATTTAGAAGGCCGTTGCAACATTAAATTTATAATTTTAACAAATGCTGTACTGTATTTAGATGATTGGATGGGTAAATAACACCCTAACCTCCAATTACTGTGGAACACTTGCTTCCCCGTGAGTATGGAAAGTCATTTGTGTATTTATTCAGCTCAATAAAGGCTTGTGTTTGCAGTAGAGTATTGACAGCAGAGGAACAATAACTTTTAGAATCACTAATTAATTAATTAGAATTAGACTGATTTAATTAATTAATTAGACTGAAAAATCGTAAATCGAAAAATCTGCACACTGAAAAATGCAAAAATAGATTTGGACGAGCTGTCAGCTGATCTTCTCTGTGTGTGAACGATGTTTGCACATTTTCAAACATGCAAACCTTAATTAGACCAAACCATAAGTAAGGGTTGACACTTCAGTCCTATTTAAGTTGCATGATGTGATTAGCATAGCACTAAGCAACCAGCCCCACAATATAAAGAGGTACCTGCTATGAGCCAGAATGGCTCACTGTGATTCACAGGTTCAGGCGCTTTAGAAGCATCAACCCGAAATCTGAAGATTTCTATCTTCTATACTTTTTAAAATTTTTTGTCTAAACATTTAGGAAAATATTTTAAAACCAAACTAGTTTTCCATATAATCATTCAGATCATTTTTAAATTCTAGGATAATTTGTGATATTTTTAGAAATGCTAATAGGAGCTTTTAAAGATGACCTTTGCTTTAAGCAGGTTGGTAAGACAATATGCAAATGGAGAGTAAGATGATTTAGGTTTCAAGAATGTAAATAAATATTCATGATCTTATTTTAAAATTCATAGTATCAAATGATTTTGTTGTTAAGGGCGGAAATCCCCCTTCCTTTGGCAGATGATCTTATTTACATGCTCAAATAAGCGGAAATCAGTTTTTACAGTGTGATCAGTTTCTTATGATGAAATATGCATAAAAACTGGATTGTAGCTGATTTCTCCCTTAGACCAATTCAATATTTTACAATTTTCTTGAATAATATTTAGAAATTATGAAAAATTACAGGTTTGCAGTTAACTTCATAAAGTAGAAAATGTTCTCTTGCTCTGTTATTTGTTTGTGTTATTACCTCTGCCAAGGAGGTTATGTCTTTGATTTGTCTCTTTGTCTGTTTTCAAAATAACAAAAAGACTTGCAGAAATTTCCAGAGAAGAAGCAAAACAAGAAATTTGGTAAAAACAAGGTTTCAGCCACGTGTTTAAAAAACAGAAGACAGCAGTCAGATGATGACTGAACTGAAACAGGGATGTTTCTGTTTTTTTTATTCTTTGACAAATTTCACATCATTTAGAAGAAAGAGAAGCTATAAAAACA